CCCACACTGCAGTAGTCACACCACCAGGAACGCCTTTACTCCTCACTGTGCAACTCATGGTTCCACTAGTGACCACACTGCCATGAACTGAACACCTACTATGCACCAGGCAGACTTCTCAAGGGAGAAAACTGCCCCACAGCCAATTGCCTTGGTAATGGAAAAAATTCCCACTACCTCAAAACATTGTAGAAAAGGCTTATTTTTTCTTACTGTAAAGAAAATTTTGAGGTCTTTAAAAAAGATTTTTTTCCCAGATTGTTCTGGTGTTTGTTTTTACTTCTGTGCATTTCTGTGTTTTCCTCTGAGTGCAGCTCTGTGTTTTTCAAAGCAGCTCCCAGCCATGATGTCTGATCCTCAACAACAACGCTTCCAGGGAAGCAAGCAAACAGGAGCTCATCCCCACTGTTCTGTGCACAAGGGCATGGGGCACAGAGAGGGTGAATGACTTGTATGAAGCCACACAGCAGTCTGGATTCAGATTTCTGATGGCTCCCAGCCCATGTCCCTTAAGACCAGACACCTGTGACTCAGGCTGAGGCAGGAGGACTACAAGTTCGAGGACAGCCTAGGCAAATTAGCAAGACATTGTGTCAAAATAAAATTAAAGAGCTAGGAATGTAGCTCAGCACTAGAGAGCTTTGCTTAGCATGCACAAAGTCCTAGGTTCAATTCCTGGTACCACAACAAAGAAAAAAAGAAAAAGGACCCAGACAGATACCTATGATGAGCAGGGCACTGCTGTAGGTATTGTCTACATTATTCTCCCACCCTGCCCCAGTGCTGGGGATTGAAATACCCAGGGCCTCGCAGATACTAAGCAAGGGCTCTACTGCTAGGCCACACTTCCAGCCCTACATCAGTCTTCCTAATCCTCTAAACAAATCTATCCAGAGCTAGACATGGTGGTGCACCCCTGAAATCCCAGCACTCTGGAGGGCTGAGGCAGGAGAATCACAAGTTCAACCCCAGCCTGGGCAACTTAGTGACTTAGAGAGACCCTGCCTCGAAATACATTTTTAAAAATTGTAAAGGGCTGACCATGTAGCTCAGTGTGAAGGCCCTGGGTTCAATCCCCAGTATAAAAACAAAAACAAAAATCCAACCCATGGGGTAGGTAATGTGATCCTCACTTTGTAGATAAAGAAACAGGCTCAGGGACACAGAGTAACCTGTCCCAAGTTATACACTCAGTCAGGGGCAAAAGAGAAATTGAACTCAGGTCTGCTCCCTCCAGTAGAGAACACAGTGGAGGGCAGCCTCACCTTGGCAGAGGTATAGTATTTACTAGCAGAACAGGAGAGTCACCAGTCCTCTCTCGGCCTCATCTCCTCATCTGAGACACAGCTACAGTAACACGTCCCACACTGTGGTGGCAGGGGAAGAAGGATGCTGCTCCTAGCAATCTCTGTACCCACTGCCTGTCAGTCTCGGGACACACGATGTGCTCTTGACATGCTCAGTGAGTACGCAGCCAAGGTTGCTGGCACTGTCGGCCTACAGCAGGGAGACTGTAGGTTTTGTTTCCTTTCTTCCCATTGGGTCCCCCTGTTTTGAGGTGTCTCCCCACCAGCACCCTTCTGCTTTTCCCTTCCTTCTCTCTGAGTCACTGTTTGCAAGTGCCAGTCTTTAGCCCTAAAAATAGAGTACATTTGGAGGGATAAAAACCGCCCACGGTCTTGGGAGGCTGAGGCAGGAGGATCACCACAAGCTCAAGGCCAGCCTGGGCTACACAGTGAGCTCAAAGCCAGCCTGAACTACATAGCAAAACCCTGTTTCAAAAAACCAAAACACCTACAGATGAAAATTATAACTGCAGCCACTGCCCTCTGGTCACCCTCTTCCTAGGTCTGACCCAGAGTGGCCACTCCAGGAAGTCCCAGGCTGGGCAATCCCTGCTTGGCCTCATGTGGACTAGAGTTTCCAGGCTGTAGGAATCCTCAGCAGGGACCCCTCAGGCCCCACACTGCTCAGTTGGGCCAAGCTTCCTTTCCCTATTGGCACAGGGCCACCACCTTACACTGATTTTTCCTCACTCTCACTGGGCTAAGCTGTCTCCCAGAGCTGGAGCTGGGCCCAGAGAGGGAAAATGATTTGCCTGGGCCACACAGCCAGAAAGACTGGCCAACCTGGGGTGAGGGTGCACCGGAGCAGGTGGAAGCCAGAAGCTGGAGCCCCTCTCTGCCCCCAACTTAGTATCAGTCTGCTCTGCAGCCTCGTTGAAGCCCACAGAAGTATTTCAGGGCTGCTATTTCCCAGTGGTACCAATCTCTGAGAGGCACAGCCAGGGTGCCAGGGTCCAGCCTGGCAGACATTCTGCCACATAAGGAGGTGAGCAGACAACTCCAAGGGATGCCCTCCATTCACAGCAGCTGGTCCCAGCCTTGCTGGGAAGGCAGAGCAGAAACTAGGGCTTGGCCTGGCATCTGGCAAAAGCAGCAAAGGAAAGAGAACCCAGAAGCCTGTGCTGGGGCAGGACCTGTGGGGTGGCACCTGCAAGGGCAGCCAGGAGAGATTCTATGACCACCCCACAGTGGGGGGGGGGTCTCCTAAGGGAGAAGCACCAGGAGCTTCCCAGTGATCTACAGTCAGCCACACTGAGGTCACACGAAGGGGGAAGGCAGGGCTTTGCTGAGGGTGTCTGAGGCCTCTGCCACACCCTGGGATGAAGAGGCACTAGCATCCCACACGCAGGAAGCTGAGATAGTGAACGTGAGACCTGCACATGCAGGAGGCCATGGAGCCAGATTCTGGCCCAACAAGGGCTTCCGAGGGACTTGTCCTTCTGCTCACACCACCTATCTCTGTGTCCACAGGGGCCTACATTGGGCAGAGTCAGGCCAGTGTCTTGGCTTGTGTGTGTCGTGTGTCGCATGTGGGTCTCAGGGTACTTGTGAGTCAAGCCATGTTTGCATCTTTGTCTGGCTGTGCATGGGTCTTGGCTGTCTGTGCAGTGTGTTGGCTGCTCGTAACCTGACAGGCAGGACAAAGGCTCTGCAGACACAGGTGGCAGGGAAGACAGAGCTGCCTCAGGAGTCCCTGAAGGGCTTCTCAGCCCTGAACTTGACAGCAGGGCACAGGGAGGAGGAGGAGGCGGGCAGGGTCTCAGGGCTCCCTCTCCCCATGCCTGTAGACCCTCCTGAGGGACCTGAAGCCCAACCAGCAGAGTCCCCACCACCAAGATAAAAAGGAGACCTGTGCTCTCTAAGAGGCCTGAGGAAGAATCCTACTGTGACCCAGGACAGAGGTCTTCTGAGATCCCTGCCAGGTGGACTCCTTGGTGAGGGAAGGAGAAGGCTTTGGCCAAGAAAGGCAGTGAGCTGGGAAGGATCCAGGTTGGGGACACAGCACAACCATGTAAAGGGACAGCAAAGCGTCCAGACTCTGGACCTTCCACCAAGCCCTCCCACCTCTCCACCTCATCCAGAGGCCCCTACCCCCACCCACATCCACACACACAGTCAGCAAAAGTGAACAGGTCACTATGACACCCACGTGGTCACTGACCTCTCCTTCACCCTACAAGATCTCCAGTCCCAACCAGAACTGGGGTTCTAGCATGGACAGAAGGCAACTCAGTGACCTAGGCCAGTTTACTTAGCCTCTCTGAGCCAGTTTCCTGGTCTATGCAATGGAGACCGCAGTGCTTGTCTCACAGTGTTGCTGTGGAGGGGAAGGTGCTCAAGCTGCCTGAGGAGTAATGATTACCCTGAGGGGTAATGATAACCCTTTCCAAGGCCTAAGGCATGCCCACCCCTTGCCCAGACCCTGAAACTGTGTGTGGGGTCTAAGCCAGCCAGAGGTCCTGCAGGAGGAGAGGAAACTCTGGGGCCAGCAGGGCCTGACCACCACCTCGCCCACTCAGCTGCTGCCCTGAGTCCTGTGCCAGCCTAGACATCTTCCAGTGGCACCTGTGGCTCAAGTTCTTTTGCACTAACTAGAAGACCTTGGGCCACCACTGCTGCAGTTTCTCCCCCAAGGGACTCTCAGGAAGCTGGGGTCACTGCCCTGTGCTTGGGGATCAGGAGCAGGGAACCCAGCCGCCTTCAGGGAGGAGGTTTTACCACCTCACCTGCCTCCTCTCTCTGCCTCTCTCTCCTGCTTCCAACCTGGCCTGTTTCTCTCTGTGCCATCCTGATGGCCATCAGGCCTCCAGCCCTCTGACTTTGCCCAGAAGAGGAGTAAAGGGCAGGGACAGATGCCAATGTGCCACGTGAGAGGTGGGTGTCCTTTCTGAATCCACCCTCAGTCCTGCGTTATGATCCCAACAAGGACGCAGGGGTCAAGCACTGGGTTCAAACTACTACGGGTGAAGGTGGGTGCGCTCACCTCCTGAGCTCGGGTCTGTTTTGGGGTGTGTGTACACAAGGCTTCCCCCCCGGACCCCCGGGCCTGGAGGTTGGCACCAGAGCGTCTGCCGAGCACGGAGACCAACCTGTGAATTCCCACGGAGCCCTCAGATCTTGGAGCCAAGGGAGGAGACGAGGGGGCGCCCGACCCTGTGACGTGTGTGCCCTGCTCCTTGGAGGGTCAGGGACGCTCTGCCGCTGGGGATACAAGGACCTCCTGGCTCAGGGTTGTTGGACCCTGACTCCCACTTCCTTAGCTGAGGACCCAGGCGCCTCCCTCCAGAGGTTGCTAGGGCCGGGGGCCCCTTCCTGGGGTGTAGGAAAAGCGCCCACTTCTCCACAGACCCTCCTGGAAACCCAAGACGCCCTTTCTCTAACGTAAGCAGAAAACCAGATTCTGCACCCACCCAGGGGGTGGGACCCGAGACCCCAGCTGGGCCCGGACGCCCCCCCACCACCACCACCACCAAGCAGGATCTCCGCAGCGCAGCCCAGGCCTCCCCCTCCGCTGCGGCCGCGGTTGAGCCGGCTGCGCCCCTCCGACGCGAGTCCCCGCTTCGCCCCTCCCGCTCAGCCGCCCGTGCCGGGTCCCGGCTGCCGGCCGAGAGCAGCCGGGGACAACGCCAGCCCCTCCTCCAGCGGCGCACTCACCCGCGGGCCTGGGCCGGGGTTCCTGGGCTCGGCACTCCGGTGCCCGCGGCGGCCGCTGCAGCTCTGCCGGGACGCAGTCGGCGCTCGCTGCCGCCGCCGCCGCAGTTCGGGGAGGGGGACGTCACGTGACCCCGAGCGCTGCCTCCCCGCGCCGCTCCCCCTCACTGCGGAGCAGGCCGCGGGCCGGGAGCGCAAGAAGGCCTCCACCCTGCGGCGCGCCCCTTCTTACAGGTGGGAAAACTGAGGACCAGAGCGGCAGGAAGTAGCTCGGGTTTACAGCTAAACAGCGGCAGGGCCTGAACGATCTAGTTAACAGCCCAAGAGCCGACGGGAGGAGAGACAACTTCTGGGGCAAGTGGAGGTGACGGGAGAGGTGGAGGATACGCCTAGGTGCCCACTGGCTCCCTTGCCTGACGGGGCGAGGAGGAAGGGAGAAGCGTCCGGGTGTAGCTGGGAGGGGAGGGTCAGCAGGCCGCAAGCCCCGGGGCCTGACCCTTGCCAGCTCTCCTCCTCCTTCGGGGACTGGGGACTCGTCTCCGCCCCAGCTGAGCCTGGGAGGGCAGCCGCAGGCCACGCTCTGATGGTGACCTGAAGCGAATGCAGCGGGAGGAAGGTGGGGTCAGGACGAGAGGCGAACCCCGGCAGGAAGGACTTCAGCGATCAAACAGACTGACCTCTGAGGGCGAGGGGCGGGAAGAGACCTGCCCAAGGTCAGGCAGCAAGTGAACAGCCGCGCGGATACCTTTCTGCTCCCCTTTCTGTTTTCCTGAGATCCCGTCGGAGGGACAACGCTAGAGAGGCAGCGGTCTGCAAGGATGCGGCCATGCGAACAGTGGGTGAGGGTATGGCCAGCAGTCCCAACATCATGGCCAAGTCACAGAACATTAATGTTAGAGATCTGAGATTTCTAGATTTCACCTCATTGTTCTGATAATTTGGGAAACTGATGCTGCAAAAGGGGTGGGGACAAACTTGTGTTTTACTGAGCACATGGAATTCGTGGTCAAGCCGATCTGGTGCTCCAAGTTCACAGAACTTAAAAGGGTAAAAGGAATCGTCATGTATTCAGTGTACTTACTGAGCACTTGAGTGTATGTTTAACAATGAGTGTCAGTCCCACGCCAGTCTATTTTCCTAACCCCAGAGACCGCATTTCATTAAGGCAAAGATCTAAAGTCTTCAGCAACCCTTACATCAGCTTCTGTAGGATCTGAGGCATGCAGGCCCCTGAGCCCAGTCCCACAGGAGCTGGGGACCAGGGCCACGATTCTTAGCTAAGACTCTCAGCAAGGGAGAAGAGAGTAGAGAAAGGGTGAGTGACCAGAAATGCCTCATCCCACCCACCCACAATCTGGAAAAGGCTGAGGGGAAGCAGAGATGAAGCACTCACTCCTGCTTCTCCTGTGTGAGGTTCTTCCTTGGTTATGCTCCCCAGCTCCAAGTGGGAAAGAGGCCAGAGCTTAGGGGATCTCACACTTCTAAGAACACAAGAGAATCCAGGTGTGGGGGCACATAACTGTAATCTCAGCACTAGAGAGGCTGAAGCAGGAGGATCACTTCAAGTTTGAAGCCAGTCTGGGCTACGTAGCAATTCAAGGCCATCCTGATATACATGGTGAGACCTTGTTTCAAAACGGAACAAAACAGGGGCTGGGGATTTAGCTCAATGGAGCTGTGCTTGCCTCACAAGCATAAGGTCCTGAGTTCAATTCCCCGGTGTGTGGGTGAGATGACGGACACACCCTACAGGATGAGGACTCCAGTTCAGAGGGTCTGGGCCTGAGTTCCTGCATCTGCTGCAGTACAGCTTTGCAGTGTTGTTGGTGCTACCAGGCCAGGATGGCTGTGTGTGTGTGTGTGTGTGTGTGTGTGTGTGTGTGTGTGTGTGATGGTGGTGGTATAGGGGATTGTAGGGCCTCACACGTGCTAGAGAAGTGCTCTACCACTGAACTACATCCCCAACCCTGGATGCCATTTTGAGCTGAGCCAGTTTCCATGGCAGGAGGACGAAGACTCTGGAGACAGACTCCTGGAGCATCACCCTGGAGACCTTGCCTCCCTGTCTAGGGAGGTACTGGGACAATAGGATTAATTCAAAGCTGTAGAAAGAGGAGAGAAATTGAGTAAAGTTGGTCACAGCCCTTCTGGGGATGCTGGGGAAGGGACTATGGGGATGCTGGTGTAGAAACTGTTCCTGACACACGTTTTGCAAAGCACCAGGCCTAGAAATCCTTCATGAAATAAATCCTTCTTGGGAAATGAGCACTGCAGACCTTGGTGAGGAGTGTGCAGTGGGCTGGCCTCACCTGTTTCAGAAGCCCACGCTCCAGGAAGCTAAGCACCATCTCAACCCATCCTTTGGCTTTTTGTACACTGAGCTGGATTGAGCCTTCAATTCATTTCCGAGCACAACCCAGTGCCTCTTCCGGCTTCCCTAACTCCTTTCCCCAAATAGGCTTCCTCCGTGCCACAAGACAAAGACCATTAGCTTCCCGAGTCTGACACAGCAGGCCTGGCTGCTGGTCCACTCCAGGTGTCCCACCTGAGCCAGAAGGAAGGGGCAGAGGAAGTGTGGTGTGGAAATACACCAAGCCAAGGGGTTCAGCTGTGTGGCCTCCTCCAAGGTCCTTACCCTGGCAGGGTCTGAACTCACAGACTCAGGTCCCCAAGCCTAACAACATGGGGAAGGGGCACTGAGTGTCCAGTGCTGCCTGAGTGGACAAAAAAATGCAGCCTCTTCTGTGCCAGCTCCTGTTTTTTTCTTTATAACCAAGAAGCTTTTCAATCACAGCATTTTCCCCTTTACAGAAAAGCTCCTCAACAAGAGGCTCATAATCTCGGGTGTGTCCTATGGGGCACCATTCTGAGACTGTCAGGGCCTCTGGGGAGGAGGCAACATGTGCTGTAGGGGGCTGGGCACAGGGCCTGGCACAGTAGGAAGAATGGACAAAGGCCCTGGAGCTTTGCTTTCTCTGTCCTATTTCAATCCAAACCACTCAGGACTGACCACTCACGCATGGTTGCCTCTGGGCACAAACTTTCTCTTTCTCAAACATTTAATACACTGTGACCCAGCCACCAACCCTGCCTTCCCAATTGCTGGGAAATGAAAGCTGGCTTCAAAAATTCTGACATCCAAGGAGACTGGAGAATGAAAATGTGTGCAGCACAACAGTGAACTCTGAATGATGCCCAAGGCTGTTGGGAGCAGGAGAGTCCTGAAATGGGAATGATGCCCCTTGGAAATAACTCCCCTACCTCTGCCTCCCCCACCCTCCAAGCAGAAGGGCCAGAGATTGCCCACCAGAACCCACATCTGGGGAAAACCCACATGCTGTGAGTCCACCAGTTGTATGTGCTGTCCACAGGGAACCAGAAAAGGTTGAAAGGTTAGATGAGAGGGTGGGCTGCAGCAGGCATGACCAGGAGAGCAGTTCCACTGCAGACAGAGAAGGTAAAATGAATGGCAGTCGGCCCCAGGGCACAGCTGTCAGAGGATCGCAGACTGGGAAGGAGGCTGCCAAGCTGGTGATGTAGACAGGGCAGAAATGATGTGACTGTGGGCAACCTACTCTTGGGCTACAGAGGTTTTTGGGTCATGGATGTTAAGTATAGGAAGTACCTGTTTTGAGGACAAAGAAATGCCAAAAAGTGGGAACAGCTCTGGTCATACCCTAGGAAGAGCTGTTTGGGGGTCTTGCTACCACAAAGGAACTTCTAGGACCCTGAAGTGCGCATTCATTTCCCCCACAGATCACACCATGTGTTCACAGCAGGGCAAAGCCCTGCTCTCGGTGAGTTAGATCAATCTTGCACTACCTAGGCTGATTGGTTTTCTGGGATGGGGAGTTTTGGGGATAGACATAAAATCTAGTCCAGGGGGCCGGAGATTTAGCTCAGTGGCACTGTGCCTGCCTTGAAAGTGCAAGGTCCTGAGTTTGATCCCTGGTACCAAAACAAAATCCAGTCCAGCACTAACTCTGGTTCCCAGTTCAAAAAATAAGCTGTAAGTCTTTGTTTCAAGATTCTAGATACTCTAGCATGACTTGGTGCCTCTTTTATCCGGAGAACCAGTGACATGCTGTGGATATCTGAGCCGATGCTACAAAAACTCCAGACATCAACCAGCGGCAACTCATAGATTGAAACAAGTCTTCAGAGGCAGAGGCAATTCTGTTTGGCGACTTGCCAAATTCTCTCCCTGGAGGATCCTCAGGGGAGTGGGTTAGTGTGGGAGTAGCAGCTCTGAAGCCACCAGGTCTCTGTCTCCTTCCATGGAGTTTGACAACTTGTGTACATCTAACTTATCTCAGCTGAAAGGGGAACAGACTTGTCCAGGATCATAAAACTAGCTGGTTGCTAGTTGCAGTTTGGTGTTCCCTTGGTTACAAATCACCAGACAGCAAGTAGGGTGTGGAGGAAACATCAGATATGCCAGTCGGCACTGGTCCAAACCAGGCAGTGGCTGCCTAGGCCTTTGGCTTCTCTCGATGTTCCCCACTTCCTGTGGCCCAGGGCCTGGTGGGCCTGGCAGCAATAATGCAGATCTGGAATCCAGGAAGCCATTCCAGCTGCTGTTACAGACTGGCTCCCTCCCTGTCCCAGAGCAATTTCACTTCAAAGACCCTGACCTGCAATTCGTAGCTAAGCCTTGAAGTTACAAGGGCTTTCTTCCCTCTTCTTTTGAGCATGTTGAGGGGTGGGGAACAGATGTTCTCTATTCAAGATCAATACAGCAATTGTGTTGGAAGCTTCAGGCTGTCTCCAAACAGCATGCAGACAGCTCATGAAGGAGAGCTGAGGACTCACCATATGAGGACCAACAGGCCAAGGGCTTGTGGGATGGAGGCTGCTGAGCAGCAGTGCTTGTGCAATGGCCTTGATCTTACCTCTGCTGGTAGGACATGGCAAAAGCCAGGTCTGGCAGAGTTGGCATGGGTCCCTGTGTTGCCTTGAAGAGGTTATACAATTTTTGGCAACCTCCTTCTTCCTAAAGTATAGCAACACTCAAAAATGATACTTCAACCTTACCATATATTGTGCGGTATGGTTAGCAGTGTGCTGGATTAATTTGAGACAACTGGTTCTGGGGGTTTATTTGATGAGGGAGGGGAAACCACAGGAAATACCTGTTTTGTGTCCTCTGTTGACCAACATTCTTCACTAAACCTCAACATGTAAATAACAAATAAACATCTGATTCCCAGGCCAGGAAGTATTCTCTAGGTACTGGCCATAGTCGTCAGCACTGCTTTGTGCCACTGAGTGCCCGCATAGTCCTACCTCCAGGGCCAGGTATTTAGGGCATTTGTTCCTAATGTTCTTGGCAATGACAAAACAATTGAAGCTGCCCCTCTGGGGCAGGAACTGTCCATCATAAAGGCATAAATCTTCAAACACATATTCTAACCGTGTTTTGAACACCTTTCAACATGACCCTGGAAATAAACAGGCACTCGAGCAGGCTTGCTGGTTTGGCCACTGGCTGTGTATCCTTATGGTTCAAGGAAAGACTCGGGAAGTAGGCTGATGGAACACCTGTCCGGCCATCACTGGACTGGAAGGGCTTCCAGAAGTCCATTCTGAAGTTTTGAGGAAAAGGGCTTCAGTGTGAGGCAAGACCTCTATCTTTGAACACTGTAGGAAGATTCCACATTTCCTACAGAAAGCCTTTCTAATTGCAAAGAATAATGCAAAGTATTTACCCCACAATATTTATTACTGTTCAGTCCTTGGTGTCTTAGGGTGAACAAGGAAGCAAATACTGTTGTTCAGAGAACAGAGAAAGACAAAACCAGATTAGGTAACTTTTGGTTTACAAGGTAAACGGTGAATGTATTTGGAACATAGGTGACTCAACTTTGAAGATCTTACAGCACCTCTTACATGGGTGTGTGCTCGCTGAAGGACTAGGTGATGCCTCAGCCTAAGTGACTCCACAGCCAGCCTGAAAAAGTCATCCAGGTTTGGGGCATCTCGGGCAGACAGGTGGCCTCCTGTGCCTCAGGACTGGCTGCTTCCCCAGCGCACACGACTTGCTACAGACCTGCTGCTCAGGGAAACATCTATCACAAGCATTAATTAAACCAGAACTTAATGAATAAAGGGTCCCAATAATGTGGACAATCTGATCCCTGGGCAGTATTTAAGCCCATACAAATCTCCAGGGAGAGAGTGGTGGTGCTAGCCTGTGCCTTAGTGGGGTGGGGGCTGCTGGCACAAGGGTGAGGCTCTTTGTAAAATGAAAGCACTGCTGCCCATCTGTCTGACCTCTGTCCTCAGCATCCTGTACACTGAACATGGTGCTTACTTGGGTAACCCACTCCAGGAGTCTGTGACAGGGAAGCCAGGCTTTTCTGTTCAGTTTACTTCAGCGCTTTGTTTATAGAAAGAGATCACTCCAATCATTACCTTCTAATATTAACCAGGATCTGATCAACAAGCCTAGGACCACACAGACCAACCAGCCAGACATTGAAAAGGATAAAAACACTCTGGATTATGATTCCACAGAAATAAAGGGGCATTTATGTCTTTTTAATTAGGCAGAAAGGTAATAGCAATTCTAAACAAAGTTTGTAAATACACAAACATACTTCCCCCCCAGGGGGACAAAGACATCCAAATGGCAACCTACATTTTAAGTAAAGGCAGCAATTTATCCAAGCATAGATATTGTATACATTCATGTGAGGTTAAAGAATGACCAGAAATATAAAGGGGGGGAAACCTTGAGCTTCATAACTTCTATGGGAGGCTGGTCTACTAAAAAGTGCACATACCCAGCATCTGAACCTAACAAAGTCTATACCTTAATGTATTCACAGCCCACAAGACAATTGGACTTCACCTATTTGTGAATACAGACACAAGAATGGAGTTTGGGTTATCATCGGACTTGTTTCCCTGTACACAATGTGGTAGTGGTTGCGAAGCTGAAGCTTCTCAGCACGAATTTCTTTGTAACTCACCTAACAGGGTTCCTCAGACTTCAAGAGTACAGCAGTGGTGTGTGAGTATAGATTCCGATTCTGACATGTCTGGAGCCTTGGCTGCTCACTATGGGACCATCCCACCTGAACTGCCAGAGCAGTTAACAAAGCCAGGACTTAGAATAGGTATCTGCCTAAAAGACTCATATTTTAAACCACTGCATAACTGAAAAAAAAACAAAGTACCCAAATAACAAACTTTAAAACTAGCAAAAAACCCAAAAAACAAAAAACAAAAACTAGCATCAGTAACAAACTGGGAAAAATATAATACATTTCTGGGTTTACTTGTTTAATTCAACACCCAGAAAGATTTTTATCCCTCCCAGTCCTGGGGGTGGAACCCTAGGCCTTAGATGTTATTAGGCAAGCACTCTGCACCGAGCTACACCTATAGCCAACGCCCCCAACCCCTCAAAAAAAACTTCTAAAGAAAAGGAAGCTGCTTTATGAAGCACTCTGAACTTTTGTTTTCTGGTACCAGGGATTGAACTCGGGTCCTTCCACTTGCGAGGCAGGTGGTGGAATCAATGAGCTAAATCCCCGGCCCCACTCTGAACTTTTAAACAAGTCTGAATTGGAAAAGAGTAAGTTCCTTTGTGTTATGACTTTTTTTTTTCCTGGTACAGGAGATGGAACTCAGGTAGCTTGCCAGGCAGGCACTGAGTCACTGAGCTAAATCCCCACCTTATGTTATGACTTTTAAGTTCTAGTTTCATTTCTTTGGAGCTAAGTAAAAGACTGAGATCTAAATATCAGGATTAGCTCCCCATGAGTTCAAGTCCTCCCCCATGTTGACGTCAAGGCCAGAACCATGTGTGGTTTCTCAGCTGCTGCTCCAAGTATTGGTTGATTTTGAAACAGGCTCTCCCTATGTAGCCTAGGAGGGCCTAAAACTCATAATCCTCCAGCCTTGGTGGGGGACTACAGGCATGCACCATGCCTGGCCCCTAGGACAGTTTTGAGGAGGCTGTGAGCTGCTCTCAGCACCTCACACAGCTCATTAAACACCCCCACTTCCTCAGGGGGCACAGGCTGAGTACACAGCCATAATTATTCTGATAAAAAGCTATTCAAATGGGATGCTGCTAATGTTACTGGTACTAAAACTGAAATCTGCCTCCTCTCTCCATTATTTGAGTTCAGATTAGGGTTGGGGTCGGGGGAGCCCAGCACAAATATGAGGCCATGAAAAAATTACAAGATGCCTGTGTCAGCATCCAGGCTGTAGACATACATACACACACTCAAAAGACAGAGACAAAAAAAGGAACAGATTCCAACCTTAAGTTTCATTTAAAAATCCTTCAATATTCTTAAGAATATTGCTGATTATTTGTTGCTAATAACTACAATCCTGAGTTGTAAAAAAGGACACATTATACTCATATACTCCTCCCCTCACAAGCAAAGTGATCAAAATGTCCTTTTAGGGCATTTTCAGAAGAATGCTTTCAAAAAGAGAAGCATGATAGAAGAAACAGCAGACTTGGAGAATGGGAAGAAAAAACATTATTCAAATGCATGTCAGTCCAACATACTCTTCCAGTAAGGTGGTCAGATTTTTCAAATGTGCAAAAAACACTTCCCAATTTTGATCAATAGCAAAACTGGAGGAAACTGCTATCATTGGTAGGAAAAACTCTCCATCTTTTCTGAAACGCACCAAGGTGAAACTCTGAAGGCCAAAGTGAGCAGTGTAACCCCTTGCTCACTGCAGGAGACACGCAGGTGCCCCTCCTTTGCCCACCATGGACACACAGACCACTGGGCACCACGCATGGTGGTGACGTTGCAGCTGGCTTGGAGACACTTTTCCACAACGATGGCAAGTTCTTCACTTTCATGCTTTATTGAAAGTAGAATATGAGTCAAAGACAGGTACGGGTAAGCAGGTTATGTCTCTAAAGAATCACTTTTAGTTCAGAATAGAATGCTTGCTGTCCCTTCTACTGTGATACAAATCCTTTATGGCCCAGTGCATCTGGTATGAAATTCAAGCAAGGAAATATAACAGAGCTTTATTCCCTTCCATGACTATAAATCTCATATGTAAACATGATTTAACGTTACTGCTACTATTTCAATGTTTGCTTGCCCCCCTTTCCTCCGACTACTCGCCTTAAATATAATTTGAAACAATTCCTTCAAGTTTGATGTCCATCAGTGCAATCTGCTTTATTTGACATAAGGCATTTGGGACAGTCACTTTTGAATGGATTTTTGCCTTGTGGAAGAGTCATGTAATGGTTTAATTCTTAAATCCATCTTTTCTTTAATGCCCTAACATGTCAAAATCCTCTTCCCCTCTGGTGATTTCTTAGCAGTCAGCAAGTGTTCAAAGATTAATGTCCAAGTAGACCAGTACCTGAGAAAAAGAAACACATGTGGAGGTACAGTTGTGAACTACACAGTAAGAGCTCATGTATTTCATTTGCCAAGATGCACCACCAACAGGGAATATCCAATGTAATACTGAACACAGCAGCCCCTTGGCACTGAAGGGTAAGAAAAAACTTGGCTGACTCCAGGCCAAGTCACATTTCTGCAGAAAGCCATGTGCTTCCTATATTTGTCTCCACACAAGTTAATCACATTTTATTAATGGTGGCTGTATTTTTATTTTCATTTTTTGGTACCAGGGATCGAACTCACGACCTTGCACTTGTGAGGCAGGGTGGCCATTTTTCATAGACAGTTTGCTTTGCTTTGATCATGTATCAGGGGCTCCTTTATTGTGGTAATACACAGATAATACAGGCACACTGAGAAGACTGTAGTAGTTTTGTCACTTATATACTTTTGGCAAAGAACCCCTGGTATTTTACTCAGATTATTTCTTTCAGAAAAATCACTCCTTGTCATGGACCTCCGGAGTGGTCCACAAAAGAATCAATATGGCCAAGTTAAATCTGTAAAGGTCAAACATCTATAAATGATGGATCAATAGGCATTATTGGTGTGTACAACAATAGTGGCCAAGATGCAGGACAAGGTACCGGCATGTCTCCACCTGAAGTAAAAATCTAAACCCCTGGATTCTAAGTACATTAAGTAAACCTTTTCACTAGACCTGACATAATTCAGTACATTCTTCTACCACTACATCTTATCAGTTACACAACTGGTTTTTTTTCTTTTTTTGTTTTTTGAGACAGGGCCTCACTGTGTAGTCCAGTCTGACCTCAAACTCACAGGAATCCTGTCAAGTCTCTTGAGTGCTGGGATTACAGCCATGTGCCACCAAGCCAGGCACACAAACGGGGTTTGTTCTAAGAGGGACTGATAGGAGGAACTAGAAAAAGGCTAAATGTAAATAAATCTTGAAATGCCAGTAGCTAAGTTCCCAACCTCCTAAGAAATGAAAAAGCGGAAGTTAAATGGACATTTGGCAGAAGAGAGTTCTAACACATGGGCTGCATCTGAGGCCTGAGTGCTGCAAATAATAATGAACAAGCTTGAATAAATTATGCCTTTAGTTAAAATTAATTCCTGCCATGAGGCTGAGATTGGATTAAATTTTAAAATCAAGTTATAGCCTTCACTTTAACAGAAAATTACAGCATGATTCTGACATTCATGAACAAAACATGACAAATGGAACTTACCTTTAAACCCTTCTTCTGGCATACAAACTAGGAAAAGAAAAAAAAAAGAATTCCAAGTTGAAAAGACTGTCACATTAGATATAATAAGATCTCTTCAATGCCTTAAGATGGAAAGTTTAAAATAACTTAACTATCTTCGTCACCTGTAATGATTATTTCTGAACTTATGGGTGACATCAATCTGATGATGATCTTTCTGTGCTTATTTTTAATCAAAGCAACATATATGTACCATCTTAAAAGTCAATTACTGATGGAAAAAGGTGTGTCAACAGGGCCACATTCTGCACCTCTGGGAGTGGCCCTGAGAAAATGATGTGACTGGCTCCTTGGGAGCTGTGTCTCTTCCCCTACTCTTTTTTCTTCTTTGTGGTACCGGGGAGCAAACTTTGTGCTTGCGAGGCAGGCGTGGCGCCACTGAACTAAATCCTTGACCTCGCTCCTCTCTCATTTTCTGTAAGAAGCTACTGTTGACTTTTTCTTCCAACCAAGGTGGTTTTTATTTTCTGACAAAGGTACTTGGGGAGAATGCATTTAAAAAGTGGTAGACAAGTTTGTTTGGTTTTTTTGTTTGTTTTTTGAGGCAGGGTCTATGTAATTCAGGCTGGCCTTAAACTCATGGCAATCCTCCTGTGTCAGCCTCCTGAGTGCTGTGATTACAGGCCTGTATCACCATGCCCAGCCATATGCACTGTTGACTCTTGTAGCAGTTCCTTCTGGTATTTAGCCTCTTTATTTCTACATAATATGCTTATGCTGCTATTTCATAATATTTGACAAGTTCCTTGACGAAAGACCAAAATTCAGCTCCTTTATCACTTCCTAGACCCTGCCTGTCCCATCCCTGACAGGGTGGATGGTTGTTGCTAAGCCTCCATCAGCGTTATTTGCCTGCATTCATACTGCTTGCAGTTGAAACCCTTGGTGTGCTCTGGTTGAACTGCTAGTATGAACTGAGTGTCTCTTTCTACCTATCTCAAGGACTCAGAAGCTGAGGCATTCAGCATCGCTCTCATTCTCCCCAACAGTTCACTATTGTCCCAGGAAGCCGGGCTGGACCAGGCCCTGGCTGCCTGCTGGAGAACATCTGCTCTGGATTCTCTCTTCACCTACTTCCAGGATATCCTGTCTTACACTGGATACATTAGCAGTTCCACTGCCTGTTTCCTTCTGGGTTCACTCTTAAGAGCATAAACTTTTCAATAGAAAAGGCATCAGTTGTGAGGGTAGACTGAAAATCATGTTCTGCAAGGGTCTTATAGACACTGTCTCCTTTACATACCTTCCTGACTCCTGGTCCTAGGAGCTTGGTTTTTATTTTTAGAATTCTCACTCTTTCTCCTGATGTGGGAGACTGAACCCAGGGGGTCTCCCACAAGGCAGGACACGACCACTGAGGTAAACCCTGAACCTTTTTAACTTACCTATTTATTTATTTAGGTACTGGAGATCAAACTCAGGACCCTGTGCTTGTGAGGCAGGCATGGTGCCACTGAGCTAAATCCCCGAGATACTTTTTTTAAGACAGGGTATTGCTAAGTTGCTCTGGCTGGTCTTGAACTTGTGATCCTCCTGCCTCAACCTCCAAGCAGCTGGACTTACAAGTACATGCTACCACACCTGGCAGGATTCTCTTTAGTTTTTCAATGACTATCAGATTCTTTACTTCTTTTGTTTTCTGTTTTGTTTCTTTGAGATGGGGATGGAACCCAGACCCTAGAGTATGTTACCCAAGTGTGCTATCACTGAACCACTTCCTAGCTCCTATGAATTTTTCATTGTTCTCCAACTGGCCCTTCTATATAGGCCCTATTGTTTATTTTGCCATTATATATAGGCCTTTTTTGGGGGGGGTACCAGGGATCAAACTCAAGACCTTGTGCTTGAGAGGCATGGCGCCACTGAGTTAAATTCCTGGGCCTTTACAGGCTGTTTTTAAGCTATCTTATGCTTCCTCCACTACCTTCTTTTCTGTTTATTGACAGACATCTCTTGACTCCATGCTATCAGTGCTGTCTGGTGATCCTGGCTGCTACTTCCACCTACATAATTCTGAGCTACTAAAAGGGTATCTGAAAGATCTGTTCAGCAGGCACTGGTGGGCATCACTAATGGGTAGACTAACCATCTTTTTAAAAGCATATATTTGTAGGTGATTTTCTTGAATTGGCCCATTTCCTGGAGAGGAATCCCATTCCCTCCTGTGCGGGAGGAAAGACATGGGCTGTAGGCACCTGAACAGAGGGCTGGAAACTATCTCCTGCAAGCAATGGGACAGGCTTATTCCCACTTTCTAAATTACCTTCTACAAAGTGCTGACACACACACACTCTTAGCTGGCCATATGCGGCATAGGTGGGGAAGGGTGGTGATGTGGATGTAGGGGGAGGGAGTTGCCTTAACTGCTTCTCATAGATTTCCAACCCAATTTCCTGTTTTTGGGAGTTCCACCTCATTCCCACACCCAGAGGCATCCTGGGTGTCTGTCTGGGAGCTGCAATCTGAATTAGCTTTGCATCTTATGGATTTCTTCACTCTGCTGGTTAACATTCACTTTAATTTCCTCAGGTTAACTAATTCCTATCTTTCTCTCTGTTTTCTATTTTCCAAAATTGTTTGTATCTTTCCCCCTTTCTAAAAAAATTTAAGACAAATGTACGCTTCCATCTTAACAGCATGCAGAAGGTATTTGTTCAGTTAAAAAAGTAAAAGCACTTTACACTATGGCCTCAACATCTACAATCCCACCTCCTTCTAACAACAAACTCCCACAGTGAGTTTATCTTTACCTTGCATGACATCATCCATTGCAGCATAATCTGCAATTGGTTCATCAGCCTAGGAAACAAACAGAAATGGTTCAGACCAACTAGAGGATGGGAGCTACAGAAGAGTGGCCCAGCTACTCATCACACTGAAGTATGGCCCATGATATTGGTACAAAACACACAGGAACCCTATCCAGTAGAGAACTCAGTTTGAGCCACAGCCAGTGATAGATGTATTCGTGGATACCCAACTATGGGTCAGACTCACCTCAAAGAAAATGTGGAGGAGCAGAGGCACTATTTTCTGTCTTCTAAAGATACCTTTAGGTGTGGAAATGTCTAAATGTCTACATGGCCTGAGGTTATAAAAGCTGCTTTGATCATCATGAGTTAAGATGCTAGTGGCCACACTGAGAAGTAGAAAAAGTAATACACAGCTCTTCTCAAAATACTAATTCGGTTACAATTACACTTTTGACCCTCTTCACCATCAAGAACCAAACACCCAATTCGTTTTAGAGTTGAGTCTAAGTCTGGGCTTAAACTGAGATACTGTCCATCTGCAGTGTAAACCCTTTAGTAATATGGGCTCTTCCTGGGAGTCTAGGCAGGAGCATTAGGGTTCAGCAACTCCACAGGTTGTCAACACCACTGCACAGATCCTACAGTTCCAGGAAAAGTAAAAGGTAAACAAAGGCAAGAGGTGAATGTGGGATAGTAGTGTGTGTACATCATGGGGGGGGGGGGGGTATGGGTCAATCTGTGCCATGACCTCACTTTGAATCTAGAATTTGGGAAACAGATTTCACAGTTCAGAAATTGAAAAACTACACTACTGCATTATGCAGTATTGTTTGGCACAGTGAGGGTCCTTCTGGCCACCAAGAAACAAAGTGGGCAAAGCAAGCAACAAGATGGTACTGAAAGGAGGATCAGGCTAACAGCCCCTACTTTCTAAAATATCTTCAACATCCAGTAAATCAAAAGCCTATTACCATATCATGGACAAGAATCACACTAAACTGTCAGAATTCTGATTTTGTGATAGAACCTTGTGTCTTGTGTATGTGTCTCAGCCTGACTGGCTGAGCAACCCTAGATCAAAATCTGAAACTTCCTGAGCTTTTAATAAGATGTTACATGTGAAAAGTTCCATACTGACCTGATGTGACACTTACAATCAGAACACGAATGCACTAAAAATATTGTATAAAATTACTTCCAAGCTATGTGCATAATGAGTATATATGAAACTCAAGAATTTTGTGTTAAGACTTGGGTCCTATCCCCCAAACATCTCATTATGTATATGCAAATATTTCAAAATCTGGAAAAATTTGAAATTCAAAACACTTCTAGTCCCAAGCATTTCAGGTAAGGCATAAAACCTGCACTCCTGAGCCTAGAGGAAAAGAGAGGCTACTCTCATAGAGCTACTATGGCATTCCACTCATCCAGAAGTTATGCGAAAGGTTAGGAAGAAGATGAATGTAAAACCCCCGTTTATTTTTAATTGCAGTTTAGGGACTGGATCCAGGGCCCTTTCACACACTAGGCAGGCATTCTACCACTGAGCTACATCCCCAGCCCTTTTTATTTTGAGATGAGGTCTTGACAAGTCACCAAGTTGCCTAGGTTAGGCTACAACTTGAAATCCTTCTGCCTAAGCCTCTGAAGTATTTGGGATTATATGCAAGGGCCACCATGCCTGCTAGAACTATTACTTTTCATAAATATTATGAAAACCCCTACTGTCTTCACTGAAACTTTCTTAATCCTGATTTTAAAGTATAAGTCAGTTACTTATCCACACTGATCACATACTCATTTTGAGTGTGAGGGGCAGCATTTCGAAGTAAGTTCAAGGCATCTGTGTCATTTTTTTAAGGACAGACCTCTCAGCTAGGCATGGGTTGGGGGGGGGGGGCTTGTGAACAGAGACCAGGCTACCCACTTGGCCCAGGAAAACCCCCAGTGACTGCTCCCAGGGCCAACACTCAACCTACAATCTCAGAGAGACCCAAGCATCCTGACCTCCGCCTGAAGGGAAAGAAGAATGAAACACATCTGTATCTGGAAGAGATGGGCCCTGTCACAGAGATTCAACAAGAAGAAATGTGGTGTGAGTCTCCCAGCTGCTGAAGGGCTTCCACCATGGCCTGCCCCTTGAGAACAGGAACAGCACCACTACAACCATCTACCACCTCAGGGTTTGAGCAGAAGCCTTCACTTCATCTCCTTATGGTGTGGACAGTGGCTGACATTGTGTCACAGTAGCTTACTATGAAAACCAGGAGAAAGCCCCAAAGTGTCTTCACTTCTAAGTCTCTTGAGGCTCAGGTAGAGTTGGGGCATCCCAGGGGCAATAAGGCTCATAGTGGTGGCTTACTGCAGCCTGTGTGGAGGCCCCAGCATCCTTTAACCACTATTTCACATCATTAAAACCTAGAGTTCCTGAGCTAGGGAGCTGTTACTTACCTTTAATAAAATGACAGATTCAGGTATGACGCCAAGGGTACCAAGGGTGGCACAGTCATCGCTTAAAATCTTTCCATCAATTGATAAATTCTGGTCAAAAGGAGCAACTGAAAACGCATGCATGATCTGTGCCAATTTAAAACAAAAAAACAAAAGTCTGTATAAAGCAAATTACTGAGACCTATACCCTATCTAAACAAATAAAGCATGGATTCTAAAAATTACAGGCAAAAAGGCTTCAGAGTACAAAAGACGGGTCTTTGCAGTCAGCCCACTTGTTACATTCCTACTGAGCCTATAATCCCTGACAGAGCCAGAACACCCTTAGGAGGCTGCTGCAGAACAGAAATAATTGTACATACAGATCCTTTTGTTCTGTACCTTACCACCACCCTAGAGCTGGGGGCGGGGAGCCAAAGGCGGGAGGCAAAAACAGAGCTGGGCCTCTGGTTCACTGCTGCTCCAAACTCTGGCTGTAAGGCCTGGGGCACCCCACCACTCCCAGGCTCCACATTCTTTCACAGACAAGTCTAAACATCCCTAAATTACCCTAACTTAACCTCTTCAGACTTTTCTCCCTTCTGTGTTTACTCCTTTAGCAAAGGATTTGGACTATGTCTGTAATTCAGTCCTTATGACTGTAATATTCTTAGACTGAATCTTGACTCTAGGAACCACAATAATAATTTCTTGAGGGTTGGGGCCAGGTCCAGCATCCTGGCAAAGTGTTAAATATACTCCAAAGAACTGTTATGGATAGTACTTTAATGCCTTTTGGAAATCAGAAAAAAAGGTTTACATTTGTCATTTCTGGATAGTAATTACCTCTGGAGTGCAATAAAGACTTGATGTCAGAAAGGCAAACACAGGTACCTTCTACAAACACCTTTTACAAACACAGAAAGGCAAACAGAGGTACCAAACACAGGTACTGTTTTAATTCCAAACTGACAGGACCAATTCAGGAACATTCATTCTATTTTGCTTTATAATTCAGTGACATATTCATCAGATATGCCGTATCACATGTATCTTAATTACACCGACATCCACGATGCATGAGAAGACCATTCCACTTTTCTCTGCCTTTTATTCCTTGTGTGTGGAAAGAAAATGAGTCCAGCAAATCAGCTCTGAACTGACAGTGTGTAACAGAGCCTGCTGGGCTGCAGAAGTAGTGACCAGGAACGTAATTTTACTAATGGCACAAAGGTAAGAAAGGACAAGGAAAACAACAACAGAATCTTATCTGGACTTCTCAGAAAGACATTAGCCTCTGATCAGTAAGAAGTGACTGCATAGAGATCTGTGGCTAACAATGCCAATGTCACTGGCATCATCAATGAACTTCATGAAGCAATATGCCTGTTCCTCACATGGAAGATGTACTGGCAGGTCAGCTCCACCAAAACCAGACCAGGACAAAAACAGCATCAAGCAGAAGCATCCAGCCCTAGGCTAGCAAATGGGAGCTGTGAAGACACAAGCTGAACTATAGGAGATGTGTGATGCTAACCTATTGAGGGGAATGTCACAGCCTCTTGAATGAACAATACTTTCTTGCTCCCCTAAATGCTCAGTCTTAAGAGTCCTTGAAGAGATTGGATAAACACCAAATACAGCAGTTCTAGACCTGAGCACCATGGGTGGAAGGGCTGACATTCACGCTTTTCACTGAGCACTAATTAAGCATTTATTAAGAAGTGACCATGTGGGGGCCGGGGATTTAGCTCAGCTCAGTGGTTTTGCCACCTGCTGTGCAAGCACAAGGACCTGAGTTCGATCCCTGGTACAAAAAAAAAAAAAAAAAAAAGGTGACCATGTGTCAAGTACTGTGCTAGATTCTGGAATTATCAACCTGAACAATCCCACCCTGCAAGGGTTCACAGGAGGGAGGGTAGGACAAAGTCATGGAGATGGTGGCAGAAGGTGTGCACAAGGTCTGGGGAGTACAGAGGAAAGGAGTCGCTTCTATGACCTCAGCTAAGAGAGCTGTCATAGAAGAGGTTCCATGACTGATGAGCAAGGGCTTTCAGGTAGGTACAAAGAGGCATTTCAATCTTGGAACTGCCAGTGATGGAGGCCCACAGTGCAGTAATTCACAAACTGTAAGAGCTTCAGTGTGATTAACATGAATGATACAGGGCTGCTCAAGGAGTAGGTACAGCATTACTGACCTATATAGTGGAACAGGAGCAGTGAAAACCCTGCTGTTACCATAACAGCTCTAGCTGCTGGCTATGGCAGGTTGGGCTGAGCAAAGGAAGAGTATTAAATCTCGGCACCAAAATGGCCCCTTCCTAAAATAAGCTACAGTACCACCAACTGCAAATTTATCTTTTGGAAAGTAATAATGCAATTCAGGACTGGTCATAATTAAACGCTGTGCATTTTTGGAGAAAAGGAATAAATGGGTTAAACTTCATTTACTTTATGCCATCACAGAGTTGGTTAACAATTACAGAAAGCAAGTTTCTTATGGCTTCAAGTAATTTTATGTGGTGAATATGTCCAGAATCCAGCATTTACACTTTTCCAAAGGCTGTCATCCCATTAACTTCGAAGTATAGTGGCCTCAAAGGAAAGGCTCCAACATATTTAAAAAAAAAAAAAAAAGGAGAAGATCACACCCTTTTCAAACAAACTCCCACCTCCAAGGATCACACACATGCCCAGCACAAACTCCCATGCTATCCAGGCTGCCAGGCAAAAGGGTCAGATCTAAGTGAAGCTTTAAAAGCTGCACTACTGAGCACCAAGGGGAAAATTACATTCCACTGCCCTTTCTTTCATCCTGTTTAATTCACAGTGGTCCTGGCAGGAAGGCTGGGAGATGAGATGACAGAAATGGCAAAGGAAGAGCCAAGAAAAGCACATCTGGGGGTTTCTGCTGAACAACTCCTGTCTTCTGGGAGCTCATCCATGCAGGTAACATGCTCCCAAATGGAGAGGTTTTTCTCTTGGCCTCTGATTTATCCTTCAAAAATAGTATCCCATAATAAAAGCAGCAGAGGCTTTTTAAATGTCCTTACCCACAGGGGCTCTTTTTGTAATTTAAAGGTTTTGAATGTTCGAGGTTTTACCACTGACAGGCAGAAAGCCACTGGTGGAAACAAGCCTTCTTAGATGTAAAGGGTACAATAACAGAGAAAAGATACTGTGCCAATATTTTCAGAACAGTGGGTTCAACCAAGGGAAATACTGTTCTCAGGACAATGTGGCACACATAACACCCTCAAAGGCACACTGTACTTTTGCCTCAATTACAATGATAAATATCAGCAACAAGAAAAATGCATAAGTAGTAACCATGACACAAAAAAGGAGCAGAGAGGAGAATTTGGTCAACTTTTTGGACAGTCAGCAGTGACTAAAACAGACTGGCGACATCTTTTGCCTAAGTTTTGAGATATGCCAATGAGATGCTTGATTACAGTGCTTTAGGTCTGATACCAAGAAGTGAAAATATATAAATCATCTTCATAATGTCCGCATTACAATCATGAAATTGATTTGCAAGTTATGCAGAATGGAGGGATCAAAACTGAACCTCTATTAGCAATGTGGAAATATCTCACAGCATAAAGAATGGTAAAGGTATGCTAAAATGTTCCCAAATAGGCTTATCTGCCACCAAAAATATTACGGGGCTCATCCAAGTAAATAGGCTTCCAAGGGCCTGGGTTTTTTGTTTTTTTGTTTTTTGGGGATTGAACTCGGGTCCTTGCACTTGCACAGCAGGCGGCAAAACCACTGAGCTAAATCCCCGGCCCAAGGGCCTGGTTTTTAATTTCCATAAATTTCACTGCAGATCTTGGTAATGAGTTCAAATTTTAGGTGGACAAAGAAAAATTATACAGCACCAAATAAGAGACCAATTATCCTCGAACTACCTTGACATGTGACAAATTAAATGGTTCTCAATGTTTCTCATTAGAAAAGCTACTCAACATGCTCAAGGTTTCATAATCCAAAAATCACTTTCATCTTCATAGAAATGCTCCTATTTTGAAACCAAGTCTTTTTAAAGAAAGAGTTATTTTAATTTGGGGGCCCTGTGAATATAATTCTAAAATCAAAAGAGCCCTCTCTCAATAGCATAATATTATGCACAGATAGATGTTTAAAAGGTCAGGCTGGGAGAAAACAGATACAGAAATAAATACAGGCAGAAAGCAAGAATTCATTCAGGCTCTCCTAAGTCCTGAGCAGATGTGAACAAATGTTGGTTTTCCTCACCTGAATTTTCAATTCTTTTAATGTTTGATTAGCAGAAACGAGAAGTGCTTTCTCACCGCGAACTTTTCTATGTCGCATACTCCGGCGAATGACTTGTTTTTGATAGGCTATATAATTTTGATGGGATATCTTTTGCCGCTTTGTTCCTCCATTGCTCTACAATAAAGATCCAAAACAAAGAAAACTCTGAAACTATCCACAATGTGACCCTTGCACTTTGACCTTAATTATTCAATGTAAACAATGAAATTCTACGGTTTCTTAGAAGGCTCACATCTACCTGAATAAAGAAAGGGATGAGTGAAATACACCTCTAAATTCATGCAACCAGTTTAGATGGTTGTTACATTAACCATTTGTAAGCAAAATAAGACAAGCACAACTCTATGAGGCTGAAGCAGGAGATTCCTAAATTCGAGTCCAGGATGGGCCAGTGAGCAAGATCCTGTCTCAAAATAAAATGGGTTAGGGATGTAGCTCAGTTGCACAGTATTTGACTAGCATGCACATGGCCCTTGGTTTAACTACCATTACGAAAGACAGACAGACAGACAGAAAGAAAGAAAGAAGAGAGAGAGAAAAGAGAAAGGAAAAGAGAAAAGAAAGCTTGTGACATTCAACCCAAAGACACAATAAAGTGAAATTTTATAATTAATAAACTTAGTTCATGAGTAATCTGAATTCTAATTTGTTTACATATTTTTACTATTTGAGAATGACAAGTATGAACTGTTGAGATTTTTTTGTTTTTTGAGACAGGATCTTGGTTGTGTAGTCCAGGCTGGTCTTGAAGAGGCCAGTCTGGGCTCCATAGTGAGTTCAAGGCCAGAGTGAATTACTGAGACTCTGTACCAAAAAAAACCCAAAAATTGCCTCTTGTCATACTAGTGAAATATACACTTTCACCTAAGGAATACTCTTGCAAAAAACGTTAGAACTGAATGTAATCAAACACTTAGCCTCAACTTCCAATTTTTAGAAACTGGAACATAGAGCACTGGGCAAGAGAGTTAAGAATGCATTATATGAGGAGGAAATCAGCTGAATCCAGAACATGGAATAATCTACAAGAAATCAAACTGTTCTCCAAGTCAATCTCTAGGAGTGACAGGTTAGGGGACAAATGTCCTTCTAGAACACTCTTGTGAGAGGTTGACAGTCAAGATTCTTCTTCTAACCAGGACAGAGAATGAAAACAGGATTTGAAAAATAAAATCTTCTTTGCCTTAATTAAATCTAGATGAAGTAACTCCAAGGCCTCCTTCTGGTTCCCACACTTGTCACTGAGTGTCAGCGTGATGAGCAGAGTGGTTCAGAGTCACCGTGGATGCAAATGCCCCAAGCTCATTAGCAGTAGAGCTCCACACAAGTTTGCACAATAGCTGACAGGACGCAGACACAAAAGCACATTGGTTTGGGAGTTGTTCCTTGGTAAGGCTCTGCCCCAGTTTACATAGTTGTGAGGCTGATTCATAAGAAATTGTTAACTGAGTTAAAAAAAATTTTTTTAATTGATTATTTTTCTCAAATCTTAACTGCTAAAAAGAAAAGGTCAACTTGAACCCACATTCTGCAATTGGGAATAAAAAGGAAAAATATCTAGAGTGATGTAATTTTATTTTAGAAGTATAAAATACAACCGAAAACCAAAGCCCTAAACATCAAGGAAGATAATTTTTAAAGACCGATTCTAAATGTGTTTAAAGGCTTTTCCTGGAATTATTCTCCATTAAACCCACTGAATTTAAATCCAACTTAACTGATAAAAACCAGCCCACTGGTTTTAGAGAGATTCCAATTACCTAAGTGATATCAAATACCGAGTGTATTATTAACCTAAATTTTAGATAACATCAAAAGAAGTGGGTTGATCTAGCTGAGGAGAGGGAAAGGGATTTGTTCAACTCCATTAAGGACAAGCAGAAATGCATCATTTTGTATTACAGGGATTTACAACAGCAATTACAGGAGCTGTTGTTTATGTTCTGAGAACTCTGACATATTATGAAGAAAAGGGTGAGAGAGGAGGGTAACATTCTGAAGAAGCATGGTGCTCTTCAGGGACTATCTACTCTTCTACACAAAGAAGGTTAGATGAGATATTTTGGGGGGGGAACCAAAAATATTTAAAACATCCTAGAGTTTATAACATCCAAATAAGGGCAGGGTAGAGAAAGCAAAATTATAAAGTAAAAAATATAATTGCAGCATAAAAAGCAACATTCCCCAACATTCTCTGTCATATTTATAAATGTGAAAACTGTTGTCATCCACAACTGAAGAGAATAATTCCACATCCATTATAAAAACATGGCTGTGGTTATGGTAACGACGAATAAAACCAGACATTCAAAACAATTATCCTTTCAAAATGTAAAGGTCTTTAGGGGGGGCGTTGGGCAAGGGGGAATTCTGGGGATTGAACCCAGGGCCACATACATGCTAAGCACGCATTTTACCTCTGAGCAACATCCACAGTTCCTGTAAGGCATAAGAGCTCCTTCTAGGGGGTGGGAAGGTGGGTTTTGAGACATGATCTCACTATGTAGCCCAGGCTGGCCTGGAACTCCAAGTAATCCTCCTGCCTAAGTGCTGGAATTACAGGTGTGCACCACCACGCCCAGTTATTTTCTAAAGAACTCTGAAAACTGGAAAAGCACAGCTTGAAAGAAACGAGAGAGAGTAAAAACCATATGGAGCTTAACCAAATTTAACAAAGAATGGAGAATAAATTAGTAATAATTAGCAATAAAAGATGAGAAAAAAGAGGTGTGTGATTCACAGCTGACTTTTAAAACACACTATCAGTTGGGCCTGGTGGTACACAGCTGTAATCCCAGCACTCTGCAAGCTGAGGCAGGATTGCAGTCCAATCTGGGCTACATAATGAGTTCAAGGCCACCCTGAACTACACAGTGAGACGGGCCTTAAAAAAAAAACGCCATGATATCGGGCCAGGGATTTAGCTCAGTGGCACCACACCTGCCTCGAAAGTGCAAGGTTCTGAGTTTGATCCCCAGTAACAACAACAAAAACCCACCATGCTATCAAGTGACAGTAATTAAATCATTATGGCACTGTGAGCCAAGATGAGGAAGTTATTTTCATCAAAAATGGGTATGCAATCCTGTGTGTGAACGCCTAGTATTCCTAAAATATCAACTAAAAAATGCAAATAACCTTCTTTGAAATACATAGTTTGGAATATGGCTTATATAGAGATGGGGACATAAAAACAAAGCAGCAACAGGTTCAAGGGCAGCAAAGCTGTGCCTGCAGACTCCTATGAGAGACACGTAGAGTGGCAAGTGTGGTGGCTACATGCCTGTAATCACAGGAGGCTGAGGCAGGACAAGCACTTTGAGTTCTAGCCCACCCTGGATTACATAGTTAATTCAAAACCAGCCTGAATTACAGTATGCAGTGAGGTCCTGTCTCATAAAACCAAAGAGACATAATAGAATATTTTTTCACCTCAGGGAAAACATGCAGACATCCCTTAACACAGTACAAGACTGCCCACCAAGACTGAAAAATCTACATTTGTACAGAATGCATAGATTCGGCTGGAGTTTCAGGCAAGGGCTCACCTGGTTTGACCAAATCAATTTCAAGTTTGGTAGGACAACTTGAACCCAAGTGAATGATAACCGCCAGCAGACTGGTGCATAAAAGTGCTCAGTTTTGATCTTTTACAGGTGTTCTAAGGTTATTTTAAGAAATTCCAACACACAGAAAACAAATGTTCACATATTCCTTTAGTGCAATTGGGAAACTACAAGGAACATTTATTTACCTTAGGAAGGCCAAGGGTCATGACTTTCTTAATGCTGAAAATGAAGTAAGGGTGCAAGGGAGTACAGACAGGTTAACAAGCACAGATATGTCTGCTCAAGCTGGGGATTTAGCTCAGTGGTTCTGCTGCCTGCCTTGAAAGCTCAAGGACCCGAGTTCAATCCCTGGTACCAAAAAAAAAAAAAAAAGGCTATGTATATTTTGGGGCTGGGGATTTGGCTCAGTGGTTTCGTCGCCTGCTGTGCAAGTGCAAGGACCCAAGTTCGATCCCTGGTACCAAAAAAAAAAAAAAGGCTCAGATATGTCTGCTCAGTAACAGACACACCAGATGGCCATCCTGACACTTTTCCAGGAAGAATGCTAACCATAATCTGTCTACCTTACTGTAGGGATAAGAAAGATATTTCAGGGCCAGGGATTTAGCTCAGTGGTTTCGGTGCCTGCCTCGCAAGCACAAGGTCCTGAGTTCGATCCTCAGTACAAAAAAAAAAAAGAAAGGTATTTCACCCATGAGAAGCCAAACTATGAATTTAAAATATCTAAAGGATATGTCAGGAACACAATGTCTGACTTTCTGAGATGCTGAGGCATAGCTATACCATAGACTATTGAAACACAGTCTCACCCTATCTCCTGTTTTCAGGACAATTTTCTTTGGGAGGGGGTAGAAAATTTTAACAGCAAACAGTCAATTTTAATAGAAAATGTAAAGTTGATATAAAGAAAAAGACTAACACATCAGCTGATCTGGTCATTTAACACCACAGAGAGACAACAGTCTCTTCTATATACTCCAATACTAAGGCTACCATTTATTTTGTAATGCCAGAATGTGAGTTGAATAAATTTCTTCATATGTAAAGATTCTATGATTTTAAAATATAGCAAGATATGACTTATTTTACTGTTCTTTTTCTGTAAATTTTCTTACAGTGAATTTTAGCAATTCTTAGAAAAAAGTAGAAGAAATCTATTAATTCTGGAGGAAATATGGTCTGTGGCTTTTCATGAGGAATCGGGAGAGCTGTAGCATGTCACCGAAACTAAGGTTGGAAAAAGGAAAAGCAAGAGGAGCAGAGAAGCAACAGCCCACAGAGGGCACAGAGATGTGCACAGGCCTGGAGGGAGGTACCACAAAAGGATGAATAATCACACACTCCTGGTTCTGAATAAAAAGCAGCTTCCACACATACTTGATTAAAATCTGGATCTTTTTCTCCATCTGGTTTAGCTTCTTCCTTGTCTTCCTCTGTCTCAGAACTGCTCACATTCAGCTCCGGAGCTGAATCCTTCATCACCTGAATGTGCCAGGACCAGAAAGAGAACCAGGTCAGGGTCAGCACCCAGGAAGGTGGGCTACTGGGAGGCACAAACTTGTGGCTTGCAGCCCGGGGATTTAGCTCAGTGGTTCTGCTGCCTGCCTTGCAAGCGCAAGGATCCGAGTTCAATCCCTGGTACCAAAAAAAAAAAAAAAACAACCTGTGGCTTGCAACCTGTGTGAAGAAGTCACCTTTCTCATGGGGAAATGACAGGTGGGTAGGGTGGACCAAGAATCCTATGGTGTGTTCTTTATTCTTTTCACATGTTAGTTTAGCCCTGTAACTACTTGTGTGTTCAGTTAATACATTCATCATGAATGTAAGAGGTCTCTGACGAGCAAGTATTATAAGGTTTGTACAATGACATTCTGTTGCAGAAATTCAAAGGCACTCTACACCTTGTCAAGCCTTTTCAATCAAGCCCTAAAACTGCTCAGGTGATGGGTGTCACAGCTTCTTAAATGAGAAATGAAAGCTGGGCACAGTGGTGCAGGCCTGTGATCCCAGCTAGTATGGAGGCTAAAGCAAGATCTCAAACTCAAGACCAATCTGGGCAACGTACCAAGACTCTGGCACAAAATTTTTAAAATTAAAAGGGCTGGGGATATAGGTCAGAGGTATAGCACTTGCTTTTCAAGCATTAAGCACTGGCTTGATACCTCCACATTGCAAAAAAAAAAAAAAAAAAGAAAGAAAAGAGAAATGAACAATGAAGGAATGTTTTCCTGTACTATTGTGCGGTACTGATGTTAAATTAAAAATAATGAAACATCAGCTAAAGTGGATACTATTTCATACGAGATACCACTGAATACCTGTACTAAAAGGTGTGAAAGATTTAAGGAAACTTTAGGGGAAAGACACTTGTATTCAATAACTTCTCTTTTTCTCACCAAATTAGGAGACAGAGGCCTATAGTGCCACCGAACTCTAGATGCCTACAGGATAATTTTAACTTACCTTTCCAAAATTGATAACCAGCATCAAATAGAATGTATTCTATTTTGTTTTTAAGCCCCAAAACCCTGTGGTTCATGAGACGTCCAGAGATCCACATCCAGATCTCTTCAATAGCCAACACTAATACAGTGAAGATATCCTAGGTTCTGATCTGTTTCATCTACCCTTGCAGATCAATGCACAAGGCTCTCAACTGTCCTTTTTTTCTTTCTTTTTTTTTTTTTTGGTACCGGGAATTGACCTCGGGGCCTTTTGCTTTCAAGGCAGGGGCCAGAACCACTGAGCTAAATCCCTGGCCTAAACTGTCCTTTCTTAGGCCTGTAATTATTGCCTCGGCAATTCCAGGCTCAATGGTAAGTCACCACTCCACTTCCAACGTTGGAACTCAAGGCAAGTCCTCTCCACTGAGCTACATCTGTAGTCACCCCTACCAAACTTTTGTTTCTGTCCAGTCTAGCTATGTTTCCCAGGATGGTCTTAAAGCCCTGGGCTTAGGATCCTCCTGCCTCAGCCACTCAAGTGGCTGGAACCACAGGTCCATTTCACCACACCTGGCCAGGGTGACTTTTCTGTGATTCTTTCTATGCTGCTTGAGCACATTAGGCTTACCTCTTTGGCCTTTGTTTCATGGAATACTTGTCCCAGGCTTCGTCCCTGAGTGCTCAGATAATCTGCTCCTCTATGATGACCTCCCTTTCTACTCCCTCTCTGGCACTGCAACCTTCACTTCCATCAGCCTCTCGCTCTACCCTGCTAGATGTGCTTCACATACTTGTACCCGTGTGAAATCACTGTACAAGTGGATGAGCTCCGTCTGTCATGTCCATCACTGTAACCCCAGCATCAAGACCATTCTTGGCCCACAGCTGACATTCAGAAGTACACATCAAATCAAAGACAGGCCAAATTTACACAGATCATATAACTATTCACTTTCAACTGTCCAATTCTAAATCTAAGAAAACAAAACTTCAGTCCCAAGCAGTCCAGTGAAAATACAACAGCAAGTCAAATATCAAGAGCAATCATTCCTAGCCAGGGCCACAAGGGGGACCAGTACCTTTTTATTGTCTACCACTTTGTGAACATAGATGGTGGCCTGAGTGTACTCCCGCAGGTCCCTCTGCTGCTGGCACAGCAGGCCTTCTCTGCACTCTGGACAGAGCTCTAAAAAATAAAGCACAAGGGGCTGAGGAATCACTGTCGAAGAACTAAAGGTGGAAAAACATATATCAAAGTCACAAGTGCACATTCATTGAGCTATTACATTAACTGTCTTATTCCTGTGTGCAAATGATAACTATGAAGAGATTCATTCACTGTGCAAATGCTATATGGCAGTTCCTCCCTCGGGAGCCCGGGCTGCCAAGAGATGATTTTTTTTTTTTCAGTGCTACAGGATGAACCCAGGGCCTTAACCACAGGCTCTATTACATATGAGCCCCAGCCTCATGAGCTTTAATTTTAAGCAAAAAAATATATAATATTGACATACTCTTTCCTCCCCCAGCTTAAATGTCAACTTTTAACTACAGAAGCCAGATACAATATTAAAACTTACTAGGTTCAGAAATATACTGTGTTTCTGAAGGGTTTACATCTCCTACTTCAATTCTTGTGATTTTGATTATATGATCCACAACAAACAGCTTTTGTATCATCTGCCACTCGCTGGGCCATATCAGAGCTATACTGTGCAAGAAAACACAACATGCCTTAAGACACAGGGAAATTAAGAACACTAATTAATCCATGAGCACCCCAAACCAAAACAGTAAATGACAATATTCAATGGAAAGATACTGGAGGGGACATCAGCATGAACAAGGACTTTTTCATACAAAGGAATGTTAGAGCAGTAGTTAAAAATAAGGGATAGTTAAATAAATTGGCCTGATTAAATACAAAAATATAAGTTGATAATAAAATAAGTTAGCTGGAAGATAAATACAACATAACGCCATTTATATAAAGTTTTAGTATACACATTATTGTGTGTTTCTTTTTAAAGGACTGTTTTCTGAGGCTGATAATCCTCAAATTCAGGACAGTGGTTAATTCGAGAGAAACAGAGGAGCTGGCCATGGTGGCGCACGTCTGTAATCCCACTTGGGAGGCTGAGGCAGGACTGCTGCGCATTCCAGCCTGTGCCACACAGTTGAGTTCAAGGCCAGCCTGAAGTAATAGCAAGACCCTGTCTCAAAATAAACAGAGGGAGAGAAAGGTAAGAGTGGATGGGAAGATAAAGTATTCAGGAGCCTTCAATTAATTTGAATTCTGTCACCGTTAAAAAAAACTGGTGGCACACCTTTACTTGTTTATTAGAGATCTTTTCTGAATGTACAGCATTCACAATAACACCAAAAGGAAGAACGGAAAGAGGGGAATGAGGGATGGCCAAGAGCTGGGCAAAAAATCTAGAAGAACATTTATGTTAACTGTTGTTTCTTTAAATGATCTTAATGTTTTGAAATATGAATGATAAACCCTCATTGAGCTTGGTCCAAAGGGAAATTATTTCCTTTTAAGCACCGGCGATTAAACCCAGGGCTCCACACATTCCGGGCAAGTAATCTACGCCCCTGAACTACACCTCCAGCCTGGTAATATCTATGTCTCTACTTTTTTCCTCCACGTCTTTCTAGCAATGTTGGAGGCAAAAAAAAAAGAATACTTCGGGCCGGGGATTTAACTCAGTGGTTTTGCCGCCTGCTGCACAAGCGCAAGGACCCAAGTTCAATCCCTGGTACCAAAAAAAAAAAAAAGAATACTTCTACAGTTGCTTTAATATTATTTTAAAAGATCTTTTGTTGTTTTCCACTTCCATAAACTGTTCCTCTTGTTGCTTTTGCTGCCTTCCTCTGCCACCCTGCCTTGGAGCCAGCTGATTATGGACTGAAACCTCTACAAACTAAGGCAAATAAACCCCTTCCCCTCTAAAAAACAAATAAATAAATAAAATTATTTTACATGAGGGCGAGGGATTTAGCTCAGTGGTTCTGGCGCCTGCCTCACAAGCGCAAGGTCCAGAATTTGATCCCCAGTACCAAAAAAAACTTATTTTACATGATAAAAATGGCAACATTGAGGGTAAGGTTCAGAGGAGTCATTCTGGAAAGACTTGAGGGTTGGAATGAAATTTCAAGACCTTAGAATTCCAGATGACTGGCTCAATATCTCTCTCTTGCTCTTTATTTTCTAAGGCTTGGCAGATCCAGAAAAAAACAACTATAACCAAGACTATGTTGATTATGTGATTCTGGAACAGAGAGGTCTGCCTATAGACATGATGCTGTCCACCAGTGGGCTGAGAAGAGAAAGGGGGCTGAGTCTGGTCAATATGAATGACAAGGAATGAGCATCAAAGTCTCATCCCTTGTCTGCAGAAGCTGTCTGTTAAAGATAAGTACTCACTCTAGTAGAGCACACAAAAGGGAAAAAAAGCTCCTGATCTAGTGAATGACTACATTCTTAGAATGGACTGCTTATATTGGGGGGTGGGGGGCTCTTCTGAGCATATCTTATCATTAGAAACAGAAAATCACACGAAACTCACAGTTTAGAATCTTCTTTGGTCATGGAAGCAAATGTAAACATAAGTCCCCCATGGGGACACAGAAGGGCGCTATTTCCAACCGATGACACAGGACTACATCTTGTAGGTTTTCTGTGCACATGAGACAAAGATAAATATACCTCACTATTGAAGAAGGGAAGACTTTTAAAATAATTATTTAAAAATTAGAGATATGGATAAAGGGATATTAGTAATTAAATTCTTCTGGGAATTATTTGTTTAGCTTGATAGAAAAGAAAGCTTTCAGTGACTGCTAGTTAAGATAACCAAGAGGAGGGGGTCAGGCATGTAGCTCAGTGGCACCGTGCCTGCCTGGCAAGCACAAGGTCCTGAGTTCAATCCCCATTACCAGAAAGAAAAAAAAGATAACAAAGAAGAATGCTACAAACAAAATCCATGAATTCTTAGAAAAAACTAAAGTCAGCCCCCAAAATAAGAAATTTCTCGTTTCTACCTAACAAATTTCCGCCATTCTTCTACAAAGAACTGAGACACGATATAGAGGACATCTGTATCCTGGAATATAAAAAAATCACAAAAAGGAACACATTAATTGTCTCCATAATTAACACACACTCCCTATGATATATGAGGTTTTCCTCAGTCAAATCTTGTAATCAATGGAAATAGAGCACTCTACCAAGGCCTAGAAAGCTGCACTAAATCCCCATTTAGGTAGCTAAACACATAAGATGCTCTTGGCTAGTCTGAAAACTCATCAGGAATTTGGCAAAGTCATTTTTTAAAAGTGGATGATTTCTTCCCTTTGTGGGAATCATTATACCTCTGGCCAGTTACTGAGACACGGTCTGTTTTTGTCCTGGAACAGATTCGGAAGAGAAGTCTTTTGCTCATTTGCGATCATCTTATGTAAGGCTTCGTTTTCCTCCCCTTCTCTTTCTAAGATCTGAGAGAAAATGAAGCAATCAGCTGTCTCCTGCTGACAGTACATGCCTCGGCACCTCCCTCCACCCCCATCAAGAGCACAGTGATAAATAACTCTATTGGGAAGTCACCTCAGGGAGGTGGTGTGCTATTTCATGGTGTCGGCACAGAGTTCAGTACCTTGCACTGTGAACAGCATTCCCTGTAACTCGGAAACTCAGGAGCCTTTGGGAAGTACTGTTGCAGTTTGCTCCACGCCTCTTTAGAAACCAGCCTTCTTTCATTTTCAGAGATGCACAATTCTCCTGAGTTTAAAAAGGCAATAAATTGTATGAGTAAAATGGGTGGGAAAAAAGTCAGTACCTATGTCTTATTTCTTAAACAAAAAAAAACTCCCCAAATCTATTTCCTGCATAGTACCTTCTTAAATTTATGAAAAGTCCTTAAGCATTCTTTTTCTCCATATTTCCTATAATCTCTGTGGTTTGCTCCTAGTTCCTCATAGATGTAGGCGAGCACACATATACAGAAAATAAATCCTGTCTTATTTCATTTTAATTCTAAAGGAGAAAGCCATCAATCTCAATCTTAAATTCTCAATCTAAGTTTGTGGTTGAAAAATTTCAGGAGATAACACCAAGTGCACAATAACTAGAACCACGCACTTTTCAGTCCTCCCTGCCAGTACAATAGCAGCACACCGGGGCTTCCAGGGCTCCTGGGGTGGCCCAGCCCTGGCAGGGCTCACAGTATTTCCTCCACCTCCACACTCAAATGTCACAATTCCCTGCAGACTTTATGGCCTACCGTTTTCTTTTTACTGAAATCACCGTGCACTGAAATAATATTTTCAAGGCTGTGTAGATCCCACAAATCTTTATCAATTCAAAGTTCAGCAATAATGCAATCTACCAATCAATTTAAAAACCACTTTCAGTCAAGGTCCAATTTCTTTGCTATTTTCAAATTGTTTGGGTATCCCAAACTCCCAGAAGACAAAAATACTACTACTCATGGCTACCTAGTCTATTCTCAGACTGTCTCAGGAAATTCAAGACCATACCAGGTTACAATCTCAGTAGCACCTCCCTACTATATAGGTTTTTTGTTGTTGTTTTTTGTTTGAGACAGGATCTCACTATGTACTCCAGGCTGGCCTTGAACTTGTGGCCATCTGGTGCTGGGATTGTAGGCGTGCACCACCATGCCAGGTTGATTTACTATTTACCTTATGCACAGTGAACTTCACTGCACATAATAAATAACCTGAGAATCAAAATAATGAATGTTCAGAATCACTCCAAAAGGTGAAAAAAAAAAGTTGATTTATGAAATTCGGTCTGTTTACTCTATCCCCCATAATTTCTATTGCCTCAGTAGAGTGTAGCTTCTTAACTTTTACTATTACCTCTTACTGTTGTTTGAACAATCTCAAGAAAAGATTATTTTTACCTTAATAGACTTTACCAAAGAAATGTGGGTCACAAGAATTTTTCTTTCTAAAGCTATTCATTTAAATTTCCTTGGAAGCCATGAACACTTACTCCAACGTGCCTATCCTCAGACATAAGTAAGACATTAAAAAAGGAAAGAAATTTAATTGGATTCGTAAACCCCAACGAGTACATCCTTCTGGAGAACTACAATGTAGCCATAGGTAGATTTTCATGACCTGATTTAGCTCAAAGAACTCCAAGGCAATTACTATATAATGTTTGAGTAGTCTACCTTTTTATTTTTTCTCTAACAGCAGTGAGCTGGGGTTGTTGCTCACTGGCAGAGCACTTTCCTAGCATAACTGTAGAGAGGCTGATGCACAAAGACCTCAATTTCAAGTGCAGTCCATTCAACTTCGTGAATTGATCTTGAATAAAAACATCTAAAGGGGGCTGGATATGTGGCTCAGTGTAAAGGCCCTGGGTTCAGTTCCTGGTACTGCAAAAATGGAAAAAGGACTCTTTCTTTATATGTGTGGGAGAAAATCCCATTTGGTTCAAAGAAGAGAGAAAATGAAGGGAATAATAACACAAACACACATGCTTTAATATGTAAATCAGCAGAGGGGCTATGGATGGTAGTTCAGTGGTACAGTACTTGCCTGGCATAGCTGGGTTGGACACCCAGCACTGCCTTCCACCCAATCTGCAGAGAATTCACAAGTATTATGGAAGTACCTATCACATATGAATGTGTAGAAATTAGAACTGTTCCCAATAAATAACATTTTATAAACTGGAGAAGAGAAAACCAATTTAAATTCACCCAATAAACAATGTCTTAAAATATAAGAGTAAACCAATCTTGAGTGCTTTAATTCACCAAATGTAACTGGATGGGCTCATACTCAAAAAGTCTTCCAGTAAACAGAAAAATCAACTTAGCAATGAGTTCAGACTCTGGATAAACAGGCCCTCTACGACCAAAATCCAGTTCAAAATGCAGTTGATTAGGTCAGAGTATCCAAAAAGGAACTGTAAAAAATCTGTGCTTGGGTCGGAGATTTAGCTCAGTGGTTCCGCCAACTACTTCGCAAGTGCAAGGTCCCAAGTTCGATCCCCAGTACAAAAAAAAAGATCTGTGCTTATATTAAAGAGACATAGGGCTTTGTAAATACATGGCACATTTGTTATAAAAAATATAACTCAAAACAAGGATTTTCAAACGCCAGGTAAACTGTTGTACAACTGTATTCCTAGCTATTCGAGGATTGCTTAAGTTGGCTTAAGCAGTTTGCTAACACCCTGGGTGACACAGTCACAATACACACAAACACAGACCAAAAAGAATTACAGATAAAAGTGGTGGTGGTGGTGTGTGAGGCACTAAGGGACAGAACTCAGAACCTCACCTATGCCAGGCAAATGCTGTATCCCTGAGCTATATCATCCCATCTGCCAGAAGTGAATTTTAAAATTACATTTGTGTGGGGCTTGGAGACATGCACCTATAAACCCAGCACTCTGGGAGGCTGGGGCAGGAGGAACACAAGTTCAAAAGTCAGTCACAATGGGGCCGGGGATTTAGCTCAGTGGTTCTGCTGCCTGCCTCGCAAGCGCAAGGACCTGAGATCGATCCCCAGTACCAAAAAAAAAAAAAAGTCAATCACAAGGATCACAGGGCAGCCTGCCCCCCCGCCCCCCGAGACTCAGTGAAATTCTATCTCAAAATAGAAAGTAGGGCTGGGAATGTAGCACAGTGAGGAGGCTAGGAGTTCAATCCCCAGTCTTGAAAAAAAAAACCAAAAACCACTTATTTTCATTGCCTCCTATCATATAAAGTATTTGTAAGCTTGTCAATAAATGCCTAAGAAATCAGATGTATAGACAGCCCTAGTAATATAAGAGCTAGAGCCAAAATGTTCCAATTGGAGAAGGACACATAGTTATGGGAATCAACTGATTCTCCTCAAATTCAGAATTCAATGTCACAAGTAGAAAGTTTCTTCTCTGATGAATTCCTCTAAATAGTGGAGAGACAGTATATCATCTTAAACAAAGTAAGAAGGTGTGAGGGCCTAGTAAGACACCAGGTGGTAGAAACTAACAGTTACATGGGGTAAGAAAATGGAAACACCAAGCACAGCACAGCACATAAAACCAATTCTCCCCAGCTCCCACTCAGGGTTAGTCCCTAAGAGAAAGGGCAAAATTGAACAAAATGTTTATTTATGACATGCTACAGCCCAACTAACAACAGGTTTATGATTCCAGCTTACCATGTGGACACAGAATGTCTTCATTAAAGTTTAATTCTTCCTCCTCTTCTTTTCTTTCCTCCTTTGATTCATCTAAAGAAACACAAATGGTAACTGCTCTAATTATTGTATTTAAAAATTCAAGTAGCAGGTATATTACTCCACAATTTATTTTTCTTTGGTATTTATTTATTGTTTGTTTCATCAGGGTCTAGCTGGGAAATTCAGGCTAACTTTAAACTCCTGTCTATCCTCCTGCCTCAGCCTTCCCAATACTGGGGTCACAGCTGTGCACCACCATGTTCAACTTCCTTTGGTATTCATTCAGAGACATGGTCTCAAAGCTCAGGCTGACCTGAAAACTGACATCAACCTAACTCACCCTTCAGTGTGCTGGGATCACCTGCGAACCCCACCTCACCTAGATATTCTGTACAATGTTGAATAAAGAAAACTTTAATTACAAAAGTTAGATCCAGATGATTCCTCTGCGCTTCTGTCAAGTGTTATCATTTTTTCCCTTAAAAGGAAAGAAAAGGATCTGTATGACATTTAACTTGATAAAGATTTAGGTTATGCAAGAAAATGTGACCCTTTTTTGCAAATTGAAAAATAATTTCCATGTCGCTCTACTAATTCTAGTCAAAGTATTCAGAACACTGCATCATAAACCAAGTTAGTCATCTTCATGTTGTATCATTTTCACCTACGTACTCTTGTAGAGGCTGAACAGAAGCTCTAAGGCAGGGGCAGGGATTTAGCTCAGTGGTCCTGATGCCTGCCTTGAAAGCGCAAGGCTCTGAGTGCGATCCCGGATACAAAAAAAAAAAAAGAAGAAGAAGCTCTAAGGCAATAAGAACTTAAAACTTTAATGTGAAACATACCACACATAATAAGAATATGGCTTTTCACATTGCATTTCTATTTTCTGCTTTTCCTATGTTTCTAGCATGCCATTGCCATTTGTTGTTAGTTGTGTGTAATGGGGAACAAATAACAAAATCTTTTATCAGGAGATTAGGGCAGTTATCTGTGGATTTTCCAGATTAAGAAACCTAACACATCTTTAATGGAATTAATGTATTCAAACAGCATTTACTAACCACTGAAACAGCTCAACTAAAGCTGGGGTTGTAGCTCTGGGAAAGTACCTGCCTGGCATGTGCAAGGACTTAAATTCTCAGTAATGCAAAAAACAAGATGTGGCCAAACTGTCACACCACTGCCTGTGTCAATACACAAACAAAGGTAACTTCTCAAATGAGGACATAACCTCAACAGTTTTGGAAAACCTAGGTCTCAGCACTGCTAATTCATTTTCATATGAGTGATAAAGACTGGTGACTGATATACTCTATATGGATATAAGCATGAAGAAAATAAGCTCCTAATGTATTTTCTAAAGGAAATTTATCAATATGCACCAATGATTATCAGTATGTAGCGATTATAAATTATCTAAGTCTGACACAGCTTTGAAGAATTTACCTCTCAGAAATAATCTGAAAAATACGCAAAGATGTAGATGTAAGAACACCCAAAGAGGGCCAGGGATTTAGCTCAGTGGTTCCAGCACCTGCCTAGCAAGCGCAAGGTCCCAAGTTCGATCCCTGGTACCAAAAAAAAAAAAAAAAAAAAAGACAAGCATGAAAGGACAATAATCCAGTATCTTCCCTCAAGAACACCCAAGGATGCTCAATGAATGTGAGCCACATATACTAGTTGTACAGGTTGAAAATAGCATTTAAATAAGTGTGGGTTATCCACACAATAAAATGTAGCTGGACATTTCAAGAGAGAGAGATGCAAAGCTGTGCCAGTATGAGCTCCTTTATAAAAAGCCACTAACTATATTCAGGGATTGTCTCCTGGGAGGGCTTTCAAGTTCTGCATTGTTACATTTCTGCAGCTTGAAGCTTTTAAAACTTTTCAATGACCAAAGGAGAATAGAAGCATACTATCCCCAAAACAACATGAAAAATATTTTTAAGCTGGCCCAACATCAAGGCACTTTCTTTTATGGCACCCAACTGTACCTAAAATGAGGAAACACCAACACACAGAGGCTCTAAACTGCAGCAAATACATACTTCATGTACTAGCCCATACGATACCACTAAAATTGCAGTATGATTTTTCAAATAAGACAATAATCTGAAAATACTGCTAGGCTCACAAAATATATAGTATAACAAAATATTAAGGAAAATCTACTAACCTGAAGACCTAAAAACATAGCTCAGAGGGCTAAGGGTGTTGCTCAATGGTAGAGCACACTCTTGGCATGCATGGGCCCTGGGTTCAATCTCTAGCACTAAACCAAACCAAGAACACAGCTCAGGGAGCTTAAGATTAATGGTATCTCGGGGTGTGTTAATTTTCTAAAAAGAAGGGGGATGACAAGGGAAGGTCAAAACCCAATAATTACGTTTAATATATAAGACATAAAATGCTGAAGTGTAAAAAAACACAGTATACTTTAAAAAGTTAGGAATATTAAAATACAGGAGAGAAAAAAAAATAAAAATAAAGTAAAATAGAGGAGAGGCTGAGGCAGGAGGATTGCTGTGAGTTCGAAGTCAGCCTGAGCTACAGAGCAAGTTCAAGGCCAGCCTGAAATAAGGAGACCCTGTCTCAAAAAACAAATGGGAGCCAAGGATTTAGCTCAGTGCCACCAAGCCTGCCTCACAAGTAGAAGGTCCAGAATTCGATCCCCGGTACCAAAAAACAAACAAATAAACAAAAAAACCAAACATACAAAAGAAAAATAAAGTAAGTTGGGTGTGCTCACACTGGTCTCTAATCCCAGCACTCTGAGAAGATGAGGGAGGAGGATCTCAAAAGTTTGAGCCCAGCCTGGGCAACTTAAGACCAAGGTCTCAAAAAAAGGCTGAGGATATAACTCAGAGGGAAGGCCAGTGTCAGGACAGAAAGAGAAAGAGAAATAAGGAAGGAAGCAACCAAGCAAAATAAAATAATATATGCATGTAAATGCCAATAGGGCTGGGAGAATACAGTGGACCCTCAACTAATGGAGAGCCTGACAAACAACTTAGGTTAATTAGGTTTCATCTGCCTCTGGTTATCTATAGCATAAACCCAGGTAAATATCTAGATCTCAGCTATATTAACTTATAACCAACTTGAGGTACAACCAGCCCTCAGGCAACAATTGAGTTCCTAAGTCAAGGGTCCACCGTAGTCAACGGTGAGAGAAAGTGACAGAGAGAGAATGAATGAATTAAAAAAAAAAAAAAGGGAAAATTTTGTCTTTAGTGAGATACATGCTTACGGATTACTAATTAGGAGTGACAGGATTGATGCATAGAGGTAACTAACCTCTGAATTACTAAGGCTCATCAAAGGAAATAAGTGGTCTGCCTTTCAAATCTTGTTTGTGGCCCTGGGGATAGAGCTAGGGCTTCACTCACACTAGCTCCCACTAAGCTATGTTCCCTGCCCTCCATTTTATTTATTTATTTTTGGGGGGCGGGGGTACCGAACTCGGTTCCTTGCACTTGTGCAGCAGGTGGCGAAACCACTGAGCTAAATCCCTGGCCCACTGCCCTCCATTCTAAATCTCAAAATAATTTTAATGTCTTAATTTCTTCTAATACCTTAAAATAACCTTATAAAACTAAATTTATTATCAAACCTAAAAATGTAAATTTGTGAGCACTAAAAAAAAAAAAACAAAACCTAAATTTAGTAGCTAATTCATAGTAACAATTTCTTATCCAAAAGCAGGGCTTCAGGCATTGTAACTCAGGTATTGCCAAATAACTTGCAAGGAAAAAGTTATCCAAAGATGCCCCTCCCTCCTGGGTGATATGCGATGGATGCACCTGACCTGCATGTAGAAGTTCAGCCTGTCAGTGCGGGTAGAAGTCCTGAGTTTGCAATACACTGTGGTTTGCAGCAGACTCACCATTCCTCAAAGGTTTAGCCTGGAGTAGAATTAATATTAATTTTGCATATGATTAACTAGATAGAGCTTGGGCCCAGAGAATGACTAGTAATGAAGGAGAATTTCATATGGGAGCTGCACAGTCTTTGCTGAATTTCAGTAGCTTAAAAATATATTCTATTGGGCTGGGGATTTAGCTCAGTGGTTTCACCGCCTGCTGTGCAAGCACAAGGACCTCAGTTCGATCCCCAGCACCAAAAAAAAAAAAAAGAAAGAAAGAAAAAAAATTCTATTTGCCTTTAGCTATTTGAGAGCTTTTGATTTAATAAAAAGTGTTTATAACTACACAAATAGGTGCAAAACCAATTTACTACAAATAATTTTAAACTTCATGGTAAATTTTCTACACATAAGTTACCTTTACTGAAGGTGTTGCCGTTCATTTTCCCATTGCTTTGGTCTGCATCACCATCTTGCTCATCTAGTTGTTCAAGAGCTAGCTGGCGCCAACTCCTCAAGGATGATTTGCCCACCCAAAATCCATCATCACTATGGAAGAGAGGAATGTCAAAGCATACAAGTAATGTATCCTAATGTTCTCCTCCCTTCTATCCATGGAAAGACCACAGCCAAATGAAATTGGTTTTTTTGAGACAGGGTCTCCCTATGTAGTTCAGGCTGCTCTTGAACTCTCTATGTATTCCAAGATGGGCTGGAACTTGTAGCGATCCTCCTGATCCTCCTGATGCAGCCCCCTGAGTGCTGGGACTATAGGTATGTGTCACCACGCCCAGCAACAGTTTTGTTTTGTTTTTTGGCACACGATTTTTTTAACCCATTTTCTGGCTGTGGCCATTTTCACTCTCACTATTGAACTGCAGGTATCTATCATTTTGAGTGCTTGTTTGGAGGTGGGGGGGAAGCAGCTACTCTCCTGTACCTTTGATGAAAGAAGATTGTCCTCTTTGAACGACAATGAAATACAGAGTGGCAAGGGTTAAAAAAGGACAGCCACAAAGCCAGCCAGATCAGCCCAATTGTCCCTGGCAATCAATGGGGTGAAAAATATAGTAGTCAGATTGTGACATTAGAAGATATGTAATGTTCGGTATCCAGCCTTAACCTTATCCTGTATCTGTTACTATCATTTACATTCAAAAGGGCCAGGGATTTGGCTCAGTGGTTCTGCTGCCTGCCTCACAAGTGCACAAGGACCTGAGTTCGATCCCTGGTACCAAAAAAAAAATCATTTACATTCATTCATGGCAGCCACACCCATCAAATGGGCACTTATTTCACTTGATTACTATTCCACAATTACGTACAGCACGCCCCACACTCTCTCATGGGATTGAACCCAAGGCCTTCTCACAAAGCCACATCCCTAACAGCTCTTTTTTAAAAACACTATGAAGGGCCAGGGATTCAGCTCAGTAGTTCCAGTGCCTGCCTCACAAGTGAAAGGTCCCGAGTTCGATCTCTGGTACTAAAAAAAAATAAACATAAAAATAAAAACAATATGAAAAAGAATCTTATTAAGTCACTAAGTTGTCCAGAGCTCAATCTTGGGATCCTTCTGTCTCAGTCTTACAGAGTGCTGGGGCTATAGCATGTGGCACCTTGGCTGGGTTATATAGTTGTACCTTTAGCTTGGCACAGCGATGCTCAAGATAAACACATGTATCCCATAAACAGCAGGAGGCTGTTTATGGAATTGTCCAAAATAGCCAATTTTATTTACCTTTTTTAGAGAGAATAAGTAAATTAAAGCCAGATAAGAAAAATCTCATTTATTCCTGAGTTTGTAGGTACTCTATTGAGGAGGTTCACTGCATTCCACACTCCCTGGACATTTCTGATCAGGACATTCCAGTGGGTTCCATTTGTTAACACACCTACTTTATTCAGCCTCACCAATGGGCACCCACAGGCTCGCCATGATGTTTTTAAAACACACAATTCCATGGTAGAGCAGTGTCACACTACCTTAATCTGGTCATACATCAGATCCACATTCTGCTTCTTCCTCTCTACTGGATAAAATGCACTTAAAAGAACTGAATCAGTCTTCTTTTTGACCCAAGAAAAAAATTTTTGTAAGGCTGGCTTTATTTGTGGCTTTACCACCCACTTCATCACCTTTCCGACAGATCCCAATAATCTAGTTTCAATAAATTCTAAGTTGCTTCTTCTTTAAAAATTTCCAGTTTATCATTAACAATGTATGATGTGCAACATACCCCTTTCCTGTTGCTTTTAGCAGATTATTGACCATTTTATAATCTTCATTTAGTTGGTTCTTTAGACGCAACACACGACAACGTTCTACTACACATTCCTTACACAGTGCTTTCACTAAAGGAAAAAGAAAGTAAATTATGCTTCCTTCACACAGACTTCCAGTTTTAGTACTTAAAAAACAGACAAGTGCTCAAACAACCTCATACAATGACAATACAGCAAAATGGTATACATCTGAAATTATTTTGGTGACTTAGACACCAATATTGTTATCTACACAAAAGAAAGAATGTTATGATATACTAAAGCTATACCATAAAGTCCAATATATTATAAAGTCTACATGAAAATTCTATAAGATGGCTGGGGATTTAGTTCAGTGGTTCCGTCGCCTGACTTGCAAGTGCAAGGACCCGAGTTCGATCCCTGGTACCAAAAAATTCTATAAGATGGGAATCAAATAATTAAGATGTGGGGGGTCCAGAATACCAGACAACCATAAATGTACTGACTTTCATGTGGAAGTGATCCTCAAAGCACAGAACAGTAGGGGAGAAAACTGAAGGGCAAGACTGAAAGGCACAGAAGCTCTAGAAATCATATAAAATTATAATCTGAAACTTTCCTAAGGCATAGTTTATTTACTGTGAATTTGGAACAGAAATTTAGAAAGCAAAACTATACATGAAAAGCGTTGAAGCATGTGTAGTTAAATGCCAATTTTACTGAGGTAGGTGAGTTATACAGAACCAGAAAAAAGTATTTAACTTTGGAGATAGATGGTGGAGGGAACACGGAATTTCCTTAGTTCCTCTACAGACTGAAGAGAGACCTGTGTTGCTAGTTGTTCATTAAACATAAAATATGTTTAAAGACAGTTAGCCAGAGTCAGGGATGTGGCTAGGTGGCACAGTGCCTGTTTGGCAAGTGAGTTCAATCCCTGTACGGCAAAAAAAATAAAATAAAGTAAAATAAAATAAAATACAGTACAATAAAATAATATAAAATAAAATGAAGACAGGAAGCCAGAACCAAATAGACTGCAGATACTTTGTGGTTATATATAGCTATATCTATTCAAGATAAGAATCCAGAATACAGCAGCTTTTGTTTATATCAATCTGCAAGTCAGTTATACACTGCTCCAGTTCCCCACGACCATGGCAGAGCCAAAATTGGAATCAATGAAGATCTGAATACTTTGAGGAGTGTACACCAACAGATAGTTTCATCAACAGATAGTTTTTCTTTGACAAGTCCTATTTTGTATATGGGGGGAAAAAGTGTGTTTGCAAACAACCAATCCTCAATAAATATTATCAAACAAATGCTCCTCCTCTACTCTCCTTAGCAAATCCTTTTTGCAAAGTATACCAATATTGGTCTAATCACGAGGATTTGCATCAAAGCACTATGAAGCCCACTCATGAAGACCATGTGATGATGACTTCATGCATTGCTCTTTTTGTCAGAGAAGTGGAGATTTTGAGTTACCAGTTAGTCTTGGACCACCTCCATATCTGCTGTAGAAAATATCTGCTGCATATTCAGAAATTCTCTTCATAATTGAGATTTTGTCTGGATGAAGTTTGTCGTGGGAACACAGGCAAGCATGGTTATCAATAGGCTTGGTAGGTGTCGATTCATCCAACCACTTTTGCAGCCATTCAAGAGAGACAAACTCATAGGGCTCTGCAGAAGACAGTGATGAAAAGAAACTATGTATTTTTATAGTTTTTGGACCAAGTGACAGTCATTTTCCTCAGACAATGCAAACTCTGTCCAAAGTTAGCAAATCAGAAGAGCCACTGATCGAAGATGTCTGATGCATGTGACAGAAAGTCACACTGAGTGTAGGGGGTGTGTGTATGCAAACAAGCCTGCACAGTGCCCTACAGGACGGGCCAGCGCTACACACCACATTCTACAAGACATGTCCGGAGAGAGAAGTGTCCTGCTGGACAGCATAGCAGAGCTTCGATCATGACCTCGTGTTGGCTAAGTACAACCCACACTCCACACTGGCGCGTGAATCTCACAATCTCATTTCCTATCACATTTATGTCATAAATTATTTTCAATAACACTTTCCACAAACATATGACATACCTCTGGAAAATTAAAATGAGATCTACATTTAAAATTAACTGCCTCAGCTGAAACCACATCATTTCTTCCCATTTCAATCACAAAACTTTTGTGTCCAACGTGATCAGGATGTCATTGTTTTCCAGACAGGGTCTCGTTATGTCACTCAGGATGGCTTTAAGAACTCATTGACCTTCCTGCTTCAGCCTCCCTTACAGGTATGTGCCACCAGGCCCAGCAATGTGATGTCAATTAAGTATTTATACCCTCACCCAAATCCAATCCATGATCTAGTCACTTCATTATTATTTATTTTGGACCAGTTCCGAGATACAGCACCTTAGAACTGAATTACCACCTATTCAGAAGCTGCAAAAATTAAACAACAAAACTAAACACTTTAAGATGAGTTTTAACAGGGGGAAAGGGAATCCCAGAGTTCTCTAAAAGCAAAAATTAAAGATAAAGGGACAGCTTTGATTACTTACAAAGATTTCCAGTGAGTCCCAGCATAAAACATAGAAGAAAACATACAGAGGTTGAATTTGTGTATTTATATTATGTACTACTTCTGATGAGTTCTGAGACAGACACTTTAGTGCACAGCCCATCTGGACCCATTTTACACTCTGAGAGTCACACATCTACAAAACTCCCATTCTCCTTTTAGTGAAGACATTTCAATTCTTACTAGTCAAAATTTGGAGCTCTCATCCCATGCCTGGGCTGAAAGGGACATCAAAGAGCCCTCAGGTGGGTAGCTCTAGGGAGTCTCACAGGAAGAGCATAGAGCTGCCAAAGACACCAATGTCTAACCCAAGTTCTGCCACCAAGAACTGAACTTGAGCAAGGTCACTTAAAACTCTATGCTTAAGGTTTTTTTATCTGTGAATGAAGATAATAATACCTGCCTTCTACCTACCTCACAGGGAATGTTGATGAGTATAAAAGATAAGGGAAGCATTGAGCTTTTTGAAAGAAAAGAGATACAGAAAAAGTTAATTATACATTAAGATATACATAAGAGGAAACTTCAAGATGCAGTACAGGAAACAAGGTTGTGGCATCTTACATTATTTCATGGTATTGTTAATTACTTTCAAGACATGTCCCGATTTTATTTGCCACTTTTCAAGTTTAAACTTCAAGGAAAGAGTGCACTGGGTGTCTGAAAATCTGTACGATAAATGACCCCTATCTGAGAATAAACATAAAAGACTTAGCAAATCTTTTCCTGAGTACAGTGACATAGATTATAACTAGGAATAACCTGCAGACTCCCAAAGGTCAGAAAATAGGGTTATGAAACAGCAATATACAAGAGTAACTCACTAGGTGTTCGTGTTTCCCCAGTGAATAAGAGGCCAATACCTGTCAATGCTAACTGAAAAAATAAACCCTATCAAGCCCACTCTTATAAAAAAAGGAATGTAGGAAAATGAAAAGGCAGAAGACACTCCTCACCAATGACAGGTACAGGAATTCAAGGCCAAGGGTGCCATCACGTAAGCCTGTCCACTGAGCAACAATGTGACTCACAGGTGGGTAAATTCAACACTTTTCAGTCCCATTAGAGTTCTACATGGAAACTTCCAAGTGAAACCTGTTGTTTTTGGTTTTGAAGCAGGCTAAAAAAAACCACCCTCTGAAATCAAAGTACAAGGAATAGAAAAATCATGTTTGATTTTACAGTAAGAGGAAAGATGGGAGCAGAGACTGGGTCCATAATTCTATCTAATATCATGCTCATTATTAAATCAACCACTGTTCCAGATAACACTTGGTGGGAGACTCCTGGAACGAACAGTAGCTTCGGCCACACAGGTCTCTCTTTCCACTTTCTATGTGAACCTTATAGTTACATGGATCTCTCGAAGAACTTCCCCGAGAACATGGGGTTGGAGCACAAGGCCCTACTTGTAGCAAAATATTACATTGCTGGTGTTTCTGCTCTATAGAAAGACTCCTTGCAGGGTTATCCAACATGCCCCCTAGTGTTTAGTAAACAACCTAAGCATTGCTATCCAAAAGCATAGTAGGCATTTACCAGGTAGGAGAACTCTATCGTTTCCAAATGGAGATAGAGAATAGTGTGAACCTTCAGTTTGAGGAACCAGAAAAGCAACTAATATTTCCAACAAGAAATATTAGAAATAACTGTGAATCACAGTTTCAAAAAACAACCCCTCTGCAAAAAAAGCCTGGATTTTAAACACACAAACTTTCTTTAGAAGCTATGAAATCAGGACAGTTATGGTCTCAATATTTGAAACACTTTAGAGACAAGTGAATCATGTGTCAATATAAGTATGAAAGGCCAAAAGGATTTGTGTTCCCAGTGATGGTAAGATTTTAGGAAGAGTTTTTACCTAGGTTCACAAGACAAAATTTAGAAAAAGCATCATCAAAGCACTGGCACCTCAACAATATGGTCACTAAAATTTTATAACAGGACAACACAGGTTTCCTATGAGGTAAGTTTGTGATAGATTGAAAAATATAATTTTCATAGTTGAAAAAAGTATAAATATACTATGAGAATGTTCTATAAACACAAGCATGGGTTCTTATACAATGAAAAGGCCACCAGAAGCCCAGTGTTAATTTGCCAAGAAACATCATTGGACCATATAGCTCACAGGAGCATTTGTTTCTCTGCGTTCCTTCAGCCCTGGGATCCAATCTAGGGCCTTGTGCAAGATAGGAAAGTGATCTACTACCAGCCCTGACAGCAGTATTTTGCTTGAGATCCATGAAATCCTTTTTCTCTTGTGCAGAATATAAGAAACTGTGAATAAAGTTCAGAAAGAATAGCTGGGCTTAGTGGCACATGCCTGTAATCTCAGCAGTCTGGGAAGCTAAGGCAGGAGGATCGAAAATTCAAGCCCTGTGCAACCTAAGGAGATTACCTTCAAAATATTTCAAAGGGGCCGCAGATGTAACTCAGTGGGATGAACCTGGGTTCAATGCATGACACTACTAATAAAATATCAAAAATTAAGAAACCAGATTCTTAGGCCCCCATTTCTCTGAACAAAGGCTTACAAGTCTAAAGATGTGAATCACGGGTTAACTCCAAATCATTTCCCATTAAGGTCAGTCTAATTTTGGGGGATAATTTCAACCCCTGAATAGAATTAGAGTAATAATGTACAAAGGGTCAGAGTCTAATTGCAAATCTATTTGGAGAGAATTCCTTTCCTTCCATAGTACTTATAATGCTGGGGATTGAATCCAGTGCCTTAAGCATGCTAATCATGCAGTCTACCACTAAGCTAAACCCTCAGCCCTTAAAAAGAATGTCTAAAAGCTATGCTTACATATTTAGCAACTTACACTTACGTTTGGTTTAACGTTTTACCAGTAATAAAAAAATTAAGATATCAAAGAGACAAAAACCACAAGTACATTTATGCTTGAATATTTATTACCTAACTCAGGTCTAAATTGCCTCTCTTTTGTAAATAAGACTTATATATGGGGAATTCATGCCTGTGAAATGACAATTTATTGCAACCAAAGATAAATCACCCTTAAAAATACTGGTTGGTTTCTGGTGCTGTTCTTTTGGAAACACTTGATAAACTTGAATAAAGACATTAAAAGAATGTGGGATAATCCTGGGAATCAAGGATAGGCTATATATAGTTTTTCTACTCTTACTGTAACACTTGATACTAAATATCAAGTTAATCTGAAAGTAGCAAAATTATACTTCTTTAAAAGGTTGGCAGTTAATACTATGCAAAGAAAACAGAACGGGCAAGTTGCTCCCATTATGATCCAATCATATTTGTCCTTAGAAAGAAATCATTGTCTGACAAAGTATAAGAATCTACAAAGCTCATATATGCAGAGTGGTAACCTAGGGTAAGCCTTATAATTTATAACAGCATCCCATTTTTAAAACTTTGTAGCAAAAATTATGTGGAATGTTACACACCAAGTTATTGCTGTTTTTACACAGTAATTTTATAATGTATTCGCTTCCTTTAGTGGACTGTAAGGAAGGGTAGGAAAAGTTTTGTCCATACACATTTTTGTGAACACAACAAACAAGGCAGTTAATGGCAACAGTGCTGTCCCAGAATATCTTACAGACCAGCTCCAGCAGGTAACCTTTGGTACAGCTCCTTAACCTCTTCGTGCTTTGCTTTTCCTTTATCCACACTTTGTTTACGCATCTCGGCCATTTCAACACACCACTCCTCAAATTTGGAATTATCTCGCTCTACCAGCTCTTGAAGAAAGGCTATTCAAAAGAAAATAAAAACAGGGCCAGGGATTTAGCTCAGTGGTTTCACCCCCTGCTTTGGAAGCGCAAGGTCCGGAGTTCGATCCCCGGTACCAAAAAAAATAAATAAATAAAAACAGCTTATCTCTATCTCAATCACATGGCATGTGGGCTAAGCTTTTGGTGGCACATTTTTAATATGGTATTCTCTTCTGTAGGATACCCTCAGCACGAAGGTAGTAGATAAAAACCTATCAAGTAACACCAGGTTATTGCTCCCACTGCCTAGCTTTCTGTAACCAGTCACCCAGAACCATCCAAAGGCTGAGAAACACCATTTCAGATCAGAGCTTGGAACACTGGCAAGCTGGGTAAACTGACAAACTACCAGTGTAAGTCTTCATCATATAAACTGAACAAAGTGACATCAAATATCTTGATTACTTTTGGGCTTTTTAAAAATTAAGTTTGACTTTCTTTGGGTGAAGAAATGGAATAGTTCCAGAAATAGAAATAAGGGCTCCTTTATCTCAAAAGCTCACTACCTTAAAGCAAATCTGTGATTAGTATTTATTTATTTTTGGGTACCAGGGATCAAACTTGGGTCCTTGCACTTGCACAGCAGGCAGCAAAACCACTGATCTAAATCCCTGGCCCCAATTAGTATTTATTAACTTGTCATAACAAAAGCAATCTGGTGCTTGTGGTTAGCCTTCAAGTATGGTATGCTGAAATATTTGCCTGATGTCATCCTGAAAAATACACTACCTGGAACTTCCACGGCTGAGTTGGGCTTCTCTTGGCTTTGCAGTCTATAAACTAACATGTATGCATTTCGAGAGCAATGAGTCCCTTTACCACACTTGGGTCTGCGCGTCTGCGACTTTGAGGGTTCTGCTGAAATACAGAAATCAAAACAAAATTTAACTAAAATGCTCACAATTTCATTTTAGGGGAGGGTGGAGGATAAAAAGCAGTATCCAAATACATGCCGAGATACTTTAACAGGGACCCAATTATCAAACTGTTTCACTGGCTACCCCTTTCAGACACATCCCATTGTTCAGTTTTTGTTTTTGTTCTGGTGCTGGGGAGTGAACTCAGTACCTTGCACTTGCCAGGCAGGTGCAGTGCTGTTGAGCTATATCCCTGGCCCAGACATCCTTTTCTTTTTTTTTTTTTAACCAGGGATCAAACTCAGGATCTTGTGCTTGCAAGGCAGGCGTGGTGCCACTAAGCTAAACACACAGCCTTGGACATCCCATCTGTAAAAGATAAAAAGTACTGCATTTCCAGAGTTGATTTCAATAGTAGTCCCGAATTTGAAGAATTAATAGGAGCAGGGATTTAGCTCAGTGGCAAAGCGCCTGCCTCGCAAGTGTGAGGTCCTGAGTTCAATCCCTGGTACCAAAAATATAAATAAAAAAGAATTAATTCAGACTAACATAATCATTAAGGAGAGAACATGGGACTATAACCCTTGTAATGGTTTATTCTTTTTTTGGGGGGGGCGGGTAAACCAGGGATCGAACTCGGTTCCCTGCACTTGCGCAGCAGGCCGTGAAACCACTGAGCTAAATCCCCAGCCCTGTAATGCTTTATTCTTAATGAGTAGCTTGGTAAACAAGCACATGGTTTAGTACTGTTTTTAAATTGTAAAAGAACACAATGTAGATGTTTAATTTTAAAAGTTAGACTGACAATCATTTCAGTAAATAAAAGTCATTTAACTTAGTCAAGAAAATGAATAAATCTGGACAAACTGCCTTAAATAAAAGTGTATTCATAAAATGCCAAGGAGCAAGGTGATTAGCTACAACTCCTTACAAATTCAGTAGCAAGTAGAAAATATTAAGATGGAAAGCCCATCACATGAAAGGGATTTTCAAATTGGGTTTGAGTACTTATCAGCAGGTCTAGGGCTATCAGTTCTCAGAGCTTCATTTCGCTTAGTATTTTATTAAATCCTTACAACACTCAATACTAAAGAACTGTTTTATCTTTAGGGCTTTGTGGCACAGAAATTTTAGTATATTAGACTAAAATTCTCTAGGGTTAAGTATAAGCAAAGCCTGGTGCAGAAGAAACATTTCTTTTTTTTAAAGAAACATTTCTTAACTTTTCTTAAAACTCCTACGGGAGCTGAGGGAGTAAGTCAACAGTGGAACACAGACTCAGTATGCACGAGGTCCCAGGTTCAATGCCCAGTACCAAAAATGATAGGAAGAAGAACTGTACTATGAAAAAAAGACATAGGTCTTATTTTGAGGTGAGAAGCCGGAGATACTGGAGATTGAATGCAGACTTTTGAAATTTTATTTTGAGAGAGGGTTACTAAGCTGCTCCCAGCTGGGCTTGAATTTAATAACCTCCTGCCTCAGTCTCCTGTGTGCTAGGATTACAGACATGCACCACCATTCACAGCTTTTTATGAGTCAGTCTCACTACCTAACCCAGGCTCACCCTCAACTTGTGGCAACCCTCTTGCCTCTGCCTCTGGAGCACTGCAGTGACAGGCATTTACCACCTAGCCCAGCCTGTGACATGTGTGTATTTAATTTCATTTCCATTGTTGTAAACTACATTATGTGGAACTACTTAACACACTCACAGCAGGGTGGTTAATTCTTGTCTCACTCTTAGGTGGCTTTGGTCACTGACGGTGACACATGCACTACTATACCATGGGGTGGCTTTTTAAAATTAATTTTACTACTGAAAACACCAATAAAAGTGATAGATTCAACTTGTGTCACCAGTTGTTGGGAGCGATTCTCCATTATTTTAGGGAAAAATCATTTCATAATTAAATTATGATTAGGGCTACCTGAGGCCTAATGTCCTTGCCCTGGAGGAGCTGGCTACAGCATGCAGAAACACGACTGTTTTGTCTCTGGTCACAGCCGAAGCCTCAATCTGGTGATGCTGTGATGCTAAAGGACAAGATATCCAGGTTCTTTGAGAACCAAGTAGTAATTTTAAAAAGGAGAAATGTTTCACTTGGGGAGAAACAAATTTCTTATCAGTTTAACACCTCCCACCAGTATAAAAATGCTTTTGCTCATCTCACTTTCCTCATCAGCCTAAGATCCTTACTCCCTCCGATTAGTGCATAAACCCAATAAATACTGGCTAGCTCAGCTTATCTTTGTCTTTGACCACTCAGGGGCACTGACATCCCAGCCCCCTATATATCATGAAATTATGCAAGTCTCTATTATCTTTTTGTCTTTATCCCTGGCCATTACCCTTTCTAGGCAGTTAAAGGATTGATCACTCTCTGATAACCAGAGGTTCTAGCCACCAGAGTCACCAAGTCACACTTCTTCACCTTGTTTTTAGTTAAGAATGAATGCCACATGAATTAGTAGGAAGGTAACAGGCTGGTCCCACTGACCCCACTACCTGGGACAACAGGATGTTTATAACATTTCTCACTGAAAAATAACATGGTGTTCTGTTCCAATGTCCATTAAAAAACTATTCTGTTGGGCCGGGGATTTAGCTCAGTGGTTCCACTGCCTGCCTTGCAAGTGCCAAGTCCTGGTACCAAAAAAAACAAAAAAAACAAAAAAAAACCCTATTCTGTTCATATAATGGGGTACTGCTTAACAGTTTTTTTAAACATGGCTAACAGAAGCAACAGTAGGCACGAGTTGCAAAAAAACTGTGGACCATAAGGAGCTAGGTGTAGAAGAATCAATATATAAACCCACCCGGCATGAGGGTGCATGCCTGTAATCCCAGCACTCGGTAGCCTGAGGCAGGAGTATTGCCATGAGTTCAGTGCCAGCCTGGGCTACATAGTGAGTTCAAGGACAACGTGAACTACATAGTGAGATCCTTTCTAAAATAATCTTTTAAAAAATCCTGTTAGGGCCAGGGATTTAGCTCGGTGGTTTCATTGCCAGCTGCGCAAGTCCAAGGACCTGAGTTCGATCTCAAGTACAAAAAAAAAAAAAAAAAATCCTGTTAGATGAAATCTACTACTATCATTTTGTTTGCTTAATGACAATGTTTTCCCCTTTGATATGAAAAATAAACCTGGTAAATGGAAACTGATTATTTGCCTTCATGCTTTCCTGAAAGCCTAACATTATGGAACCATCTCTCAATAAAACAAGCACTATTAATAAAAGATATTCAATAATTTTGTGTGTTTAAGAAATGCATATCTTTGACTCCCTGGAGCAATCATGGGCCATAGTAATATATCATAAATATTTCTGGTTAAAAGAATTTATATTTTAAAAGGTCACTCACAACTTAAAGGTTTTACCTAGATCTTCCTCAATCCCTAGTTGTAATTTCTTCCCCTCCATCTTTTCAATGTCTTCATCGTTAAACTTATACCATTCGCCAGACTGCGGATCTTTCACATGGGCAATGTAGTGGCCCGAGTAAGCGCTCACACCTCTATGTATGAGGACTGCACTGAGTTCATACACATAGGACCCATCTGGAGGAGAGAGAATGGAAAGGAAACTGTAGGTAACAATAGTTCTTATATCCTGAAAATAAACAATAAGTAACAACAATTCTTTCCACACCGGATAGAATTCAAAACATGTCACCTAAAACAGAAAATTTCAGTTTCACAAAATACAGGAGAAGCATTCTCTGAAGCAGGTTATCATATTGAATCTCCATCCCCTCCACAATTATACTAAAGGCAACTATACAGTAATTTTCGGCACTGGGTGGTAACCTGACTTTAGAACATTCTCAGTCCTGCACAAACTATTTGAGCCATACATTCACCAAGAATCAACAATTCATATTCTGTTACAGAAACTAATTATGATGCTGGGCATGGTGGCACATGCCTCTAATCCCAGTAGTCGGGTGACTGAGGCAGGAGGATTGCTGCAAGTTTGAGGCCAGGCAGGGCTACATAGTGACTTCAAGGACAGCCTGAACTACACTGCCAGACCCTGTCTCAAAAACCAAGAAAAGCTGGGCGTGGTGGTGCATAACTACAATCCCACCACTTATGAGGCTGAAGCAGGGGGATTGCTGTGAGTTTGAGGCCAGCCTGAACTACACAGCAAAACTCTGTCTCAACCCTCTCCCAAATTAATTATAATTTATACACACTAAACAGATGAATGTAAAGTGAAAAGCTACTGTAGTTAGAGAAAGAACAATAGACAATTTAGGGGTTGGGGGGAAAGGCAGGGAATTAAGTCATCAAGAACAACTGCTTTCAGGGCCAGGGATTTAGCTCAGTGGCACCGTGCCTGCCTCACAAGCGCACAGTCCTGAGTTGGTTCAATACCAGGTATCTGCCCCCCGCCCCCCAAAAAAGAAAAACTGCTTTCAAAACTGATGCCCAGGCCAGGCATGGTAGCCCATGCCTCTGGGCAAAAGACAAGAACCCTGAGCCAAGGGTACAACTCTTGTACAATTCTACAAGGCTCTCTTGAAATAATAAATAAGAGCAGAGACAGCTCAGTGCAAAGGTCCCAGATTCAATGCCCCATGTGGCAAATAAAAACCAGAACAACAACACAGGTGCAAGGTGTAGGTACTGGTTAGCCACAGGGTACAAACTTCCATTTTATGAAGACACTTTAAACTACCTCCACTGCCATAAATCATTTCACAAGACACATATATATTAGATTGTGTATACCTCAAGATCATGCCATTTTCCTCATCTTTTATGCTTTATTAAAGCTGAGGGGAAAATGCAGGCATAGGTAAGAAAATTCAAAAAAGTTAGGAGAGATAATCCTAAAAATCTAGAAGGGTTCCATACTTCGATTTCTTAGTAAGCTTGTTTTGTTTTGTTTGAAACAGTGCCTCACTATGTACTTCAGGCCGGCCTTGAACTCAGTGATCCTCCTGCCTCAGCTTCATCCCAGAGTGCTGGGATCACAGGCATGCACCACCATGCCTGGCTTAAGTACTTTACATCCTAGTGCCACCTTAAATTTAAAAAGCCTGCAAATCACAGATTACGTATCACTCATGTGCTTTACCAAAGTAACACTTCATACACACATCAAAATACTGGCAATGATGAACAAACAACTACAGATAAATGTTTTATGCTCTGGAAAGAAATATTTTTATTTTGAGACAGCATCTCACTATGCAGTTCAGGCTAGCCTTAAACTCACTATGTATGCACTTGCCAGTGCTGGGATTATAGCACCACCATACCCAGAATAAACTCTGTAAAATTCTTATGAAGAGTCTAAAGTTAAAACAAGCTGGGTGTGGTGGAGCACTCCTATAATGGAAGGACTCTGGGAAGCTGAGTGATGGGGAAGACAGAAAGGTTGAGCCCAGCCCAGGCAACTCTCAGCAATTAGGGAGACTCTGCCTCCTTAAACAAAAACAAACCAGTGCAAGAGATCAATCCTACTACATATGATTTTTTAAGAAAACTGGCCTGTGGTATTGCCCAGGGTTAGAGTGCATGCCTGGCATATATGAGGCCCAGGCTCAAAATGTGGGCAGAGGCAGGGTATGACTCCGTTAATAATTAATTCCACATGACCACTACCAAAACTGAAACCTGCATTGTTTTCTAAGAAATACATCATTAACACCTATCTCAAACAAATTATTTATACTGACAATATTGAACAGCCAGAATATATTGAATCACTTCACTAGCAATAGGTATTGAAACTACCAACATTTGGGGACGATATACATGGTAATTACCACCTTTGCAATAAAAAAAATCTTCACATGACTTGAACTATTTCATCACTATTTCTGCTCCCTGAGCAGTCTTGATGACTGAACCCAGAGCCCTTGCACTTGGCTACATTCTCAGCCCCTTTCGGATTTTTTTATTTTGAGACAGGGTCTTGCTAAGCTGCCCAGGCTGGGCTCTCAGCTCCCCAGAGTTCTGGGATTATAGGGATTGGACAACCACGGCTCGTGCATTTTCTTAAAACTGCAAATAGCTTCTGGTGCCTGCCTCACAAGTGCAAGGTCCTGAGTTGATCCCCAGTACCAAAACAAACAAAAACTGCAACTAGTAAGTTGTGTGTTAGAACCAATCATTTTTTCAACAAGTAATACACATGTTGCACATGGTTTTAGACTCAGAAGGCAGTTAAGCAAAAGGACAAAATCGCTACATAATAATACATACAGGACTGCTGGGGATTTAGCTCAGTGGCACTGCACCTGCCTTGCAAGTGCAAGGTCCTGAGTTCGATCCCTGGTACCAAAAAATAATAATAATAATAATAATAATGCAATAATACATACAGGAGTTAGGAGTGTGTCTCAGCAGTAAGAGCATACTGGGCAGGCACAAAGATCTTCTACTCAGGGCAGAAAAAATGCAAATAATAATGATGGGGCGGGGGAGTGAGGATTGAATCTGAGGCCTTTGCACTGAGGTACATACCAGTTTATCTGGAGACACTATATGTCACTAAGCTGCCCAGTTTGAATGTACAATCCTCCTGCCTCAGCCTCCCAAAATTCTGAGATTACAAGTATGTGCCAACATGCACAGCTAAGAACAAGATTTTTCTAACAAAGTAAGCCTCTTTGGTAAAATGAAGACTATTAAAAGAACAAAGCAAGGCCGGGATTTAGCTCAGTGGTGGTGCTGGTTAAATGCAAGGTCCTGAATTCAATCCCCAGTACAAAAACCAAACAAACAAACAAAAAAGCAGTGTTTTTTGTTTTTTTGAGATTGGGTCTCCACTATGTACTTCAGGCTGACCTTGAACTTACAATGTAGTTCGGGTTGGCCTTGAGCTCCCAGGCAATCCTCCTGCCTCAGCTTCCAGAGTACTGAGACTACAGGCAGGTGGTACTTGCCCAGCAAAGTAGTAATTATTTCACTAGACCCTATAATCCTAACACTTGAAAAGCTGAGGCAGGAAGACTGAGTTCGAGGCCAGCCTGGACTAATATTGAGTTCAGGGCCAGCCTAAGCTACATAATGAGACCCTGTCTCCAAACAACCCTCCCTACCACTGCAAAAAAAGCCTATGACACAGCATCCTAGAATAACTATGAAGAATTACAGCATAGTGAAGTAGAAATAGCAAATAAATACATGAAAAAATGTTCAACATCACTGGTCATTCGAGAGATGCAAATGAAAACGCTGAGATTCCACTTCACTCCA